CAAAGTGAGGCTGACGATAGGCTGACGGATGAGGGTTGGAGCAAGTACTTCCAGCGTGACAAGGACAATGGATCGATAAAATCCCGTGCCTCCTCCGTTGACTCTAAATACTCCAAGTCGGATTACAAGTCAGACTACCAATCAGACTACAGAGGCAGCGGATGGCCTCACGTATCAGCTGAGGTACCACCCCTGAGATTTGGCGGACCACAGCCCCTAGGAATGGTTTCAAGTGGTAGCCCTAGCACTGAAACCCCTCCCAAATGGCCATTCACACAGCATCAAGGTATGGCTGCCAAGATATCCAGTGCAGACTCGATTAGCATCAACTCGGACGACTTCTATGATGACCGAAGAGACACAGGGAGGGACACTTTAAGGGACACAAAGAGTGATGCATTTTCGACAGGTGCCCCTGGCAGTACCCATGACGTGGACCGCTGGGGCAGGGTTTCGAGAGAGCCCCGGGTGCCCAGCAGTAACTACTCGAACAGTGTATACTACGATAACCCGGGTCCTCCGTATGCTGGGGGTCCGGACCGATATCTGAATCCAATGCATCCTGAAAGTCGTGCTCCCTCCTCATATTACGGGCGTAATACCCGTTCAGCGAGCAGGGGAATACTTAGCTCAGATATCAGTTGGCTCAACATTGGAAACAACAGATAAAGACCCCTCAACCGTTTGTGTCTCTTTTGGACGCACATACACACCCTTTGACGCGTCAATACCGAAGAACTCTGCAATTACCAGATTGGGATTGGGGCCAACAACTGGGGCCAGGTTTTCGCCTGCAGGCTCTCTGCTTTTGCCTGCTCAACGCTCCCGATTGGGACGGTTGTTCGGGCAAAAAGTATCGATCCAGTTCTGGTATACCCTGAAATGGGGCCGGATAACGTTCGTTTCGACATCCTTTTTCGTATAACCTGCATCTATGGGGGCGGAAGCCGTCCAATTTCGGACTCTGATCACCCTATCGACCCTCGAGGTAGGGGACCCTCTTGGCTATCACCTTTTTTCAACTTCCATTGTACATGCCCCGTTCCCATTTCATATTTTGTTTTCTTTTCCTCTCTTGGCTTTCGACCTGAAAAAAACCATGGTTCTGCGATCCGGTTTATATGGACTGATTCTCACTCTTGAGTCCCACTACCTTTGGGCCCTCAATATTTACTTTCGTGTATATCTTTTTACCGTCGCGCGCGGCACCAGTCGTTTGACCCCCTTTTCTTTGATTTCCTTCTGTTTCCCCTTTACTTTGGCTCTAACAACATGCATGCATGTAATATAATACCCGATCTGAGCCACTTCCAAGGGCAGGATTCCACTCATGATTGATGGCTGTTGAACAGTTTTTGTTGGCTGGATTAATGCGTTGGATCTGGTCCTTTACAATTTCCTGTCTTCTTTTCTTTTCTTATTATTATTCGTCTTATTCTTCTTTTCACCTGTTACCTGTTATTTATACCATACCCTGTTTGCTTGCCTGGCATATCAGCAACATCCGTCCCTTCACTAGTTTTCATTCTCCTCATTGTATGTATTTACGGGCTGCCCTGCAGTAATATACTCATCGTTCCTCAGCATTCATCGTCCCATGGCCAAGTAGCCTTGTCATGTTGTAACTTCGGCCGTGATGACTCGTTAGGCATCTACCATCTGCCTACCCCAGTGCCGTATTTTGGGTACTATCATACATACAGCCTTATGGAGGCCGAGTCAACGCCAACCCTTTTGAGCTTTTAGTTTTGAAAAAACCTTTGAGACACGAGGTGATCTGGAGTATCGAAAAAGTGGGTTCCTGAAATGTCTACGGGAAGCGGATAGTGGGAGTCATGCCGGATGCCAACGGTTCAGGGGCTCCCAACTGTTAGCATTTGCCTCACTATTTTTCATGCAAAACACAAGAAGACGCCGACACCTACATACACATATGCGTACACAGGTGGGATAAATGCACGGCAGCAAGAACAGAGAGGCCACTACCGCCCTCTCTGCGTAAAGACTGCCACATAGCCGTGCATGTTGATACCATTATTGATAACCCTGCCACACCGCAGTACCTGAGGCATTCGATTTGTATGGAAAAAGGAAAGGAAGATATCTCTCCGGGGAATGTCATTCCTTGATTGATTGACAAATAAGGCGTCTCATTTGTCTTCGCTTTTTTGCACTTTGACTGTGGTTGGGGGCTAAATGGTGTGCTAAATATAAGTGCATGAAAGTACACACAGCTTCCAAGGAGCCTACGAGCAGATCCCCACGCAGACGATCAGGCAGGCGTCTTATTAGGTCAAAGTGAAGGTGTCTAGCGACTTCTGCTCCTGTTGAGGTACGGAGTATAACTATCCTAGCAGTCAATAGGCTAACTGCGCCGACAAAAAAGGGGAGAGAAGCCCCTGAAGACCCTGCCTTGCCTGCTAGACAGCACTCGCAGGGTTTCAATCAACGCTGTACAGGGATAAAACTGTTGGCTGTTCCTTAACTAGTTACTTCTCTCCGGACCAATCTCTACGCTGTTTTTTTATTTATTATTGGCACTGGAAGCGCGCTACCATCCCGCTCTGTTGGTTTGTGGAGCGTCCCTGGAACATCCACACAGCGAGCCTCCTAACACAGTGGCATATAAGGTGTTCGAGTTTGATACCACACACTATTGACTAGCTAGTGACCGGGCAGAGGCTGCCGGTTGTCGCTGATGCAGTTAATATATTGAACCTGGTTCGATCTCGGCGCTGTTCCCTACCTGCCAGGAAGTAAGCAGACACTCAAAGGGACCCAGGACAGAGAAAGAGAGGATAACTACTGACCTGTTTGCCCAGTTATGCGGCTCCCGCGTCACTCCGTCTTGTCCATGCCAGCTCATACGTTTAATATGGAGAGACAGTCACTGGGAAGGGATGCCTAACCCTTGCTGTTCAAGGGTTTTAGATTACGCCGGGCTACAAGCATGCCAAATTAATGTTGATTGCCAGGGTATATACACCCAAGACGGCCTCCCATAACTGACCAGACACTGGCATAGCATAATTCGACATACTTACACCGTACATACGCATGTATATATATAATTGTGGACGCCCTTAGATTGGAGCTTTTCGGGGTCCACATCTGCACGATCAGTTCTGGAAATCTTCCGTCCGAGTTAGTTATGCTTATAAGTACATCTGTACAGCGTAAAACGATCCCACATCTCGCCAGGGATTGCTCTGATCTTTTACGCCGGCGCCTGATCCAAGAAACGCCCTAGGGTGTCATTGCATTTCTCCAGACAGATACGTTAATTTCACCGAGACACCCCGTCAAATTTGTTTCCCCAAGCATTCCCATCCTTCGCGTATAAGACAGCGAACACCCCTTAACTAGTTAACTAACTAGCTAGCTAGCTAGCTAGCTGACAAGCTTGTTAGTTACAATAGTTAACTATGCGGTTTCCTGCGTTTCTCGGTGGAGAATATTCCAACTAGCCTTTGCATGAGAAAATTAGCCAGCAATCTGTCCAACCGCCTGAGATGAGGAAGGGCTCAAATGATCATGCGTTTATGCGTGAGCCAGGAAGTTATGCCGCAGGGGATTAATGACATCGCATTAGCTTTCACTTTGGGGACATGGACGAGGCGCGAATGGGATGGGTGAAGTCCTATCGGAAAGTAGGCGTCTCCCCGAGCTGCTTGCATGAGAAAGCGTAGGGAGTCGTGCGGTTAGCTAATAATGGGCCGTCTTGGGCGACAAGATCGTCCTCCCGGTCCGGGCAGTGCTGAATGTCGAGTGGCGGGATCTCGTCCATACAAGCATGGTGTCTTTCCAGACAGGATGGCAATGCCCTCGTCGACAGCTGGCGAGACAGGCAAACAGGCAGCCGGCAGCCATGGAGCCGAGGGCCGAGAGAATATTTGCTACGGGACATTCTCGTGATGAAACTGGGCTTAGACAGCTCGAGTCGGCTCTCTCGTCCTTAATATCTTTGGCCGCGTTTAAAATCAGGGGGTGCATCTGATATCGTCCATTGGGCGCGGATGAAGGAGAGGGACTAAGAGATGGGCAAGAGAGAAAAGAAAGCAACCTCAAAAAAACAAAGACGGGTCATCCATCGTGTCTTCAAAGGACGCCTCAATCCGAGACTCGCTAAAGTTGAATATCCATCTGATTTCTGTTGCCGAGATATTGGACGAAGGCAAAAGGGTGTTCTGTACGGAGTACTGATGGGGTCTTCGCCAAAAACGCCTCCGTTGCACAGTCTCTTGTAGGCACTTCCATGCTCCCTGCTCGTTCGACTGGCCTTTCAACCGTTCGGTCCGCGAGAAGCGACCTGGATGCTACAGGGACGAGAGCAGAGGTACCGTCAACGATTCCGCTCCCTACATATATACGTTGACGTGTACGGAGTATATATGCATACATGGCGGAGCGAGGTTAGTGAGCAGACAGGGCTGATGTTCAGCTTCAACATCGGCTAGGCCACCAGCACCAAGATGGCCCTTGCTCAAGTTTGGGGGCCGAGTGCCAAACTAGAGATCCCACTGCCTTGTCCTCGGTGATCCCTTTGAACCCTCCTCATCCTCTGTCACGGAGAAGCGGTCACTCACCCTTCCGCACTACGCTTGTTTGCCTAGGGATTCTCGACCGCGCCCAATAGTATCTCGAAGGCGCACTTTACGCCACTTAAAACCGCCATATTTACTTATTTGCCATGGTGCAACCCGGACCTGTTGGCTCAGACTGACCATGTGTCTGAAACGTGGATGGCGCAGACAAGAAGACGAATCACACATGGGAAGCTCGCTATCTTATGCAGTCAGTCAATCAGCGCTTTTTTTTTTTTTTTAGAGAAAGGAGGATTTATATTTTTCACTTTTCCATTTTATCCACCTATACTCCCTCGAGCCATGCGCAGATACAGTTCTCGAGACGGCGTAGCTGCGCCGTTATGCAATCAGATGTCCAGGACCCTGGACGGCTACAAGCATCTACCGCTAACCAGAACATCCCATCCCACAACTATGGACCGGGGTATCAGGGAATGGACCAAGCTCGTTCAGCTCGACCAACCCTACCAACAGGAACCCCCGAGAGCCCAGGCAAGGGATCTTGGAAAAAGCAAGACGAAGAAGCAGAACAAGAAGCCGAAAAAAAGAAAAGGCAAGCAAAAAGAGAACATATCCAGCCTCGAGTGCTGGGTCCACCATGACAAAGGAGGTACAAAAAACATCCTTGACTCGTCTTGCTTTTACTGTCTGTATTTGCTTTTTCCCTTAGCAAAGGGGGCCAGAAAATATTTATATCTGGTAGCGATTTACATTGACCCGGACCGCCTTCTTCCCAAGACTGCTCTGTATACGGTCAATGCAGCAAGCTGGCTCGGATCTAGTTGACTGTGATGCACCTGGTGGGTGCACAAGCTCCTCTTGGGCTCTCAGGCGCCCCCAGTATTACTGATTCTGCTGGCCTGTGGGATCACTACCCTTGGCCCTCGCTCCAGGGATCACGTATACCAAGTCCAAAAGAGTTACGACCGGACCCTGGAAATCTCTAACCTCTTCCAAATACGGAATACCGGTCAAAGATTTCGCACTAGGGCCCGTTTCTCCCTCCTGTTGGCCCCAGTTTTGGGAATAGAGCGTGGGAGGTCTCTTCCCATCCGCTCTCATAATGCGGCCCGGGCCTCCAGATTGGGTTATCATGAACCTGAATCACCGCAAACGTGCATGTAACGTCACTATTTCGGTTCGGGTTCAGCAAGTAGGGAAGTCCGTGAGGTGGGGGGGCCAGGAGCTTCAGCACCTTTAGGTCTAAATTCGTCTTTGCAAAATATATGCAAAGGTGTAATATTATTTGCATATCGTTTATGTTATTTTGATTTCTTTTACTTGCAGTTTCCATGTGCTATTGGCAAAGGGTTACTCCGTATAAGAAAAAGAGAACATAACCTCTACCCCGTCGGCTTGAAACTTCACCCCAGGCTTATCATACTGGAATCTCAGGTCGTCAAACCGCCTTTAACATAAAGGCTGATGCTTATTTCTTTCCCCCAGGCCTTTCGTTCCTCCGTGCAGTATACATCCACAAAAAGCTTTACCCGCTGGCTTGGGCTATACATACATATATGCATCCTGCCTCCTTTTCTCTTTTATACCAGAGTGAACGCCATAACACCTGTCTATATTCTCATTATTCCCCCAACCTGCACCGAAAGAAGCTGGGGAAAGAAGAGAAAGGCTTCTCTTAATAAAGCTAATAGGCATAACCCCCACCGTCGGTTAAGAGCTTACGTATAAGCCTCAATTCCTACACTTACGCGAAGCTTGTGACTTGTCGGGCCACCCCACATTCACCATCCTTCGGCCATATCGATATTTTGGCTTCCTCTACCGGAAGTAGCCGCCTTGTAATACCTATACAAGGCTGACGTTCGTATAGTCGACTACGCCGATATTTGACCCTGCGGAAGCCCCTGTCGGAGCTCTTACGGACCATTTATATACCACAGCTTCTGCCAAACGCCTTTTCACCCCTTTGTTTTTTCCAAACTATATCGCGGCGAAGACAGACGCTAAAGGAGATAACATACTTGCTTGTCATTCTGAGACTTCATTCTTTCTCTCTGCTAGCGAGCTCTAATATCCAATCATCCTTATCGACGGCGGACATTATGTCTAGAGTTCCCGAGAAACAAAGGATGGTTTCAATATTGAACAATGACGACAACCCCTCTTTTGCGGTTCGGCCTTCGAGATCATCTAAATCCAGGCAAGAGCCAACTGGCCACTCTTCACAATTTCATGGGTGGCCGGCATCAGTAAAGGGAAACCCGGAGTCGGCCAACCTTCGCCATGGAGATAGCCGGCCACAATGGAAGGACATGTCGTCGTCTTCTGAGTCGCATTATTACTCTTACGGACCACCGCCTCACTGCTCCTCGCCTCCTCAGTTTGTCATGCCACATAACCTACCCTATGGATATGACCTCGAAGAAGGGGGGCCTATTCAGCATGAGCATCAGACAGGAGAACGAGAAAGAGTGTCACCACAATCAAGTCACAGTAACTTTACAGAGTATGCGGCACCTCCCACAACTAAAAAGAATAAGCATGCCTGTCCATATGCAGCCTCCCATGGATGCTCCGCTACGTTCACGACCTCGGGCCACGCCGCAAGGCACGGCAAAAAGCACACTGGTGAAAAACGAGTCCACTGCCCGGTGTGCAATAAGGCATTTACTAGGAAAGACAACATGAAGCAGCACCAAAGGACTCATCGCGAATCAGGCATTGATGTTGGTATTGACGGGCATGATCAGAATATTTCCGACACCGCATACTCCCAGTCTCCCGGCTCAACTACCGCATACTTCCCTGCCTATGATACAGAAGCGCCGACTGACCCGCGACATTCCCAATCTCGCCGACACTCAAGTCGCTCCGCTACTAGCTATGAGGCTTCTCCTCGATACCTATCCCGAGAGCTCCCAGATCCGCAAGATGCAGAGGATGAAAGAAGGCCGCGTTCCCCGGCGTACCGCTCTGACAGCATTTCCTCGGGACTGGACTCACTGGCAATTGCATCGACCAAGTCAAGCTATAGCAGCAGACACATATCGAGGAGATGAGACTTACCTTCTATTATTCTACTTTTCATTTCTTACAGCGTTCTCTTTCAGAATCGGTTCAGGATGTATTTAACTTTGCCTCTTTTTCCCTTTTCACAATTTTCAAGCCCTGTTCATGGAAGTACCAGGAATATAAACACTAGGCTATAGACAGGAGTCAAAACAGCATTTTTCACACTCACGATCGGTGGATCGCTCTCTATCTAAATATCCTGCCCCTGACGATAAGCTATTCCTGAACCATGGACCCGGCCCGCCGGAACTGAGTTAGGGTTCGGGTTACACGGGCCACCCCTGCTGATGATGTCATATGCCAAGCAAAACGTGACCTGCACTGAGCCTGCGTTGTATTAATTATTGCTTCCGTCTCTCCATGATTAAAACCAAGCCACAATCACCCACTTCATACGTCACTGGCGCCTGGTGGTGATATAAAGCCGTTGTTGATGGACTCTCGCACGCCGAACCCATCAGTTCTAGCATAACCGATAACAGCAAGCTCGCGACGACACCTATCCCATGGCAGCCGACTACTACAACAACCACCCCTATAACAGGGCTTCGTCAAGGCATCATGGACCCCCTCCCGCGGGGCAGCCCGTGCCCGGTCAAGGCTATGGTCCTGGCTACTATCCGCCCGGTCAGGGTAAAGGTGCACCCTACGGTGAACCCAGACCAAAAGAAAGCGGACGACATAGGCGATCTTACTCTACTGGAGGAGAAGGCAGGCATCGCGGAAGAGGCAGATATGACGAATACGATGAGGAGCCTCGCCGTGGCAAACATCGCCGTACGTTACCCTATCTTTCATCTCCACGAGGCGTTCCAACGTAGAAATCATCACGGTTTTTCTTCCAGGAACCTCCATGCTAACATTAAAGATAGATAAAACTTCGTCGCGCTACTCAGTGTCGCCTCCATCACGGTCACCCAGCCCCTTACGCCCACGGAAGTCGCTTGGTGATCACGCCTTAGAGGCTCTTGGCTTCATGGGAGCCATGGATGGGTCTCGCAAACAGGGCGACCGCGGGCAACACCGTCGCTACGAATACGGCGATGACCACAGAGACCGTAGGGGTCATGATCATCATCGGGGTTATGACAACCATCGTTACGATTACGATGACCGCCGTCAAGACTCAAGCCGTGGCAGAAATCACAATAGGAGTTCCTCATTAGACCCTCGGGCTCATGGCTATAGAGATGATCCAAACAAGGCCCTACAGAACGCTATTACCGCCGCCTTGACTGCAGGAGTACTAGAAGCGTATCGTGCCCGCAACGACCCGGGAGATTGGACTGGTGAGAAGGGGAAGCGTGTCCTTGCTGCCGTTGCCAGCGCTGGAGGTACCGAAAAAGTGCTTGACCGCGGGGGCGCTAGCAAATCTACCAAGAGGCATATTCTAGAGTCGACTCTGGCGGGCCTTGCGACCAGCCACCTAGTTGGAGGAGAGTCGGGACGACACCGTTCACACTCAGAAAGCCATGGAAGGGCTAACACAGGTGCCACTGCAGCACTACTTGCTGCTGCTGGCAAGAAGGCTTTCGAACATTATCAATCTAGATCTCGTGAGTCTGGAAGGCACGATTATTACAGTGATGATGGCCGGCAAGGCAGATCTGGGCGATCGAACAGGAAGCGAAGCAAGAGTTTGACCGACTATGTTGCCAAAGGAATGGCTACTCTGGGGTTAGACGAGCGAGGCCGTGACAGTGGCCATGGCAACAGCCATCGGCGACACCGAAGTCGGTATAGCAGCCCTCCATCTGAGTACGAATATGAGTACTCCGACAGACCTCGCCACACAAGACGCCATCACGACCGGTACTAGCTCTAATGATATAGTTGAACTGTTTTGCACATTGTTTTGGTTACGACATATTTACGAGTATATGCTTATGATGATTGTTTGGTAAATTTTTTGTGATTTCTTTTTGTCCCAGTCAAAATTATTTTCGGATATGTTGAATGAACCATGATGATTTCCAAACTTATGATTAACATGATATCCCAGGCTCTGAGTCTTAGACACTCCACAGCTGATATGAACCCAAAAAGCGAGTAGCTAGATACGATCTAATACGATAACCTCTAGATCCTGAATGTCCATACGAATTTCAAAAATCTCAGCCACGTAATTATAACTAGAGCAATGAAACAAATGACTACCCAAGGGGAACTGATAGCCTTTACGAGCGTGTGTGCTCTGGCTCCACGGTCAACATATTATTGCGATAACACTCAATAGCCGTTCGGGGATTTGCGCCGCTGTAAACCTGAGGTAAAAACCGTACATCTGACGGCACAGTGCTCATCTCCATGTTGAGATGAACGGATCACATTTCTCGCCTTGCGATACTCAATTTTATACAATAATTATATATAGAATGATACTGGCTGGATATAGTGGCAAGTGGCATGACCTATCTCTCTTGCGGCACTCTGCGTATTGCTTTCAAGGAGGTTATGCGAAATTCACAAGCCTAAACATCCTTTCCAGCCTAGAGGTAACTAACTGGCTATGAATCTTTCTTTTGTGATTATTTTTCTAGTCACCGAAAATCATGGCCTTGAACCAGGCGGTCATTATTATTAGCCGCATTAAGCAAGCAACTGGCGCTTATTGACCTTGGACGAGGAAAGTTTATTTTTCTTTAGAGATAACTCACTTGCGACGTCACTTCATCTCCGAACAACTTTTCATCCAGTAAGGGAGCCAGACAACAGTTACTATCAGCGAACTATCTAACTACGATTTAAATCATTAAGCCGGAGATTGTATTTTCTGATACAGGTGAAACTCTATTTGCACTTTCTAGCTACACCGGATGCTTACTGTGATTCGATAGCCCACAACTTCTCAAGGCAACCTCGTATTGGTGACGGTCAAGTTGCAGCAAAACATCTGCCTTGTGCAGAACGTCCGACCACCATAATGCTACCTATTCCACGACAAGGTTGTAGGTTGAGAACCACTACCAGACTGTCGAAAATTCCGTCCGTCCGTCGACTGGATACAGATGGGGCATGCATTGCAAATATACCACAAAAGCGGCAGCTATATTCACCCCGCGGTGATGTCACCGGTAGGCCTTTGGCGTACGTCCCGATATGCTGGCCTGGATCAACAAACAGTCCTCGTCACAAGCTCCTGAATTCAGGTCCGATGACTGCCAGTGTCCACAGACACTCGTCTCCAGTGTCATATGACCGGAGTTATTCAACGAGCCAGTCATCGAAAAAAGTGACGGTGGATGATTATATTCAAGAGATAGAGGACCTGAAGTGGACTATCCGAACCACCATCTAGTCTGGGGCATTTTAATTAACTAATACTATATTATATAGATACGCAATCGCCAAGGATGAGGTATGAACTAGAACTTCTTGGAGTCCCTGTTTTCTGGATACAGCGGGGAACACAACTGTACATACAGTCACGCTGTTTAATTCCCTCGGTATGCGCTATCTGATCAATCTAACGGTAGTATTGAAATTAGTTAGAGATAGCGGCTGAGTCTACTGCCGCGGCCACGATATATGCTGCATCGGACCGTATATCCATGCGCGAAGCTTTTGACGATCTTAACCATGCCTATGGTGCTTATGCCGAGAACAACCCACCGCCAGAAGATATCGAGTCAAAGGATGGGGAGAACCGTACTGGGGTTGCAGAAGTGCGTTCCACATCTTACGACCCGACCAATATTCCCGCGGATGTCCGAGCGGAAATAAAGAGAAGAGTTGGTCATAGGATAAGGGAGATAGAGAATGCGGTTAAAAATCTAGAAGAGAGTGCTCAGCACGAGTGACTTCGTTATACATACCTCGGTCGATTATGGGGCGTAAGAGTAGATAACTCGTTTGTAAGCTAAGATGTGGGCCAGATAGTGATATTGCCCTTTGAGGGTCTGTGTATGATGCAAATCAAGGCTGAACGATAGTAGGTGTGATATATGGCGAAAGTTCCTCATTTGAAGTATTCAAAGCTAATGTACTATTAGCCCGGTCGAAAGACCATCTGCATCGCTCAGTAAATTTACTGCACGGATGAGCAACAACTATTCAGCCTGGATATCAAGTCACTGACGTATTATGATTTCTCCAAACAGCAAGCATGCCCCCAGACTCCAACAAAATCGTAAAATGTAGCCATTATATCGTAGATGCCAGTTCCCCCGAGAAATCCCCGTCATGATTCCCCGATCTGGCTTGGTGTGTAGCATGATGCTGTCGGATCGTCCTGTGGACCGTCCGGGATCGACCAGCGGCCTGACCCATCGTGAGATGCTGGTCTATTCGGGCTGGGATTTGATTCAAGTCCGTAAATAATGCGGAGGGGGTGAAAACGCATAAGCAAAAGGCAAATTATCCCACAAAAATTCTATAAACAGTGTTCTATATTACGGGTAGGCTATGAGTGACCGGACTAGCCATCCGCTGCAGTGAAAAAAGGTCGTCTTTGTGAGCGGTCTTTGCATGTCTTTTTAATTGATCTAGATACCGGGTTAGTAAATGAAGGATATAAATGTAAAATATGGGGATAATACCTGGTCTAGTAAAACTTTTGGAGCATCCAGGGAATGGGCATTTGTGTCGTCGTTCTCCATGTGCTAGAAGAAAATACCATTGTTAGGAGCTGATTCACCATGGTTCATCGTAATATCACTTACTTAATTTATGGCTTGACATATTGGATGACTATCATCGAACAAAGTTAGTGACAAGCAGCAAAGGAAAGGGTGGGTGGGAAATATGTAACTTACATCGCCAGTTTCAAAAGTGCAGCCAGGATGTTTACACTTGAACGGTTTCTCTCCCGTGTGTATTCTCCTGTGAGTTTCTAATCCCTGTTAGTATCTTCGTGTTCTCCGGGATATTTCTCGTGGTCATGGAACAGGGATAACTTACTAAGTTCACTGCTATCCGTAAAAGCTTTTCCACATATCTTGCACTTATACGGTTTATCTCCCCGGTGGCTGCGTTCATGCCTCTCCAGGGTCGCTTGTCGTGCAAATGATTTCCCACATATAGAGCATTGGAAGTTTTTATCTGTAAAAAATAGTTAGACATGATACATGGGTGGTTTGGATTCGAGAGGATATGGGATAACTGCATACAATTGCTATGTGTGAGGTAGTGGCCTTGGAGTTTTGATTTTTGTGAAAAAGGCTCATGTGGACGATGGCAGCCTTCCCAGCAGCAATAATGCCCGGTTCCCTTAGCGCCTTCAGTCTGGTTGGCGTGTTCCTGGACAAGATGTTCCTGAAGAGATTTTGCGTCCGGAAAGGTGATACCGCATACAAGCCCTGAGTCACCATTTGCAACCCACTTGCAAATATGCAGCTCATCACCGCTATAGTCCATCGACTGTATGCTAACTTCTCGACTTGTTAGAGCAGTCATTGGGCTTGACTCTAGGCTTAGACCAGGAGTGGAACGGGTGGAAACAGTAGAATTATTGGTCATGACATCGTGTATGAAGCCTGCACTGCTTGTTTGCGAATGAAAGGATGGATCGTGTCGGTGCCGGTGCATTTGAGAGGACCACTGGACAATGTCGAAAGCTTTGTCGAGATTTCCCCTTTGGTGAATGTGATTAAGGTAAGGGTGATGGGTATTATTATGATTGTTTAGGTTATTGTTGCAATCTCCTGCGGTGCTGGCCATGGGCCATACGTTTCCAGCATGGTTTGAGCATGGCGTTCCAATAACAGGTCGGGAGTGTTTAGGGTCTATGATTCCGTTGCCGAGTCCCTTTGAAGCTGAATTTATATCCAACGAGTTTATAGATCCAACGTGGTGGAAATGAAAGTGCGATCGAAGCTTGTCGTTGTCGAGATTGCAATGTTGTAGGGAGGAGACATCGTTGACGGCGGAGGTTGTGACGGTAGGTGTCGCAGCAGCAGCAGCAGCAGTGTTTTGTAGATCCAGACACCCCCAGTTGAGCGGTATGCCCTGGTTGAAGAAGTGGCCCTGATCGAGGGACCTTAGGGATTGTTCACCCTCTGTGACGCAGTTCATATCAAAACAGGCCGTTGCCTGGTTGTTGCAGTTCATGTCGTTGCACTGAGGCTCGGAGCAGGCTGTTGACTTGTCACAGTCCACAAACCCGTCGCATATGGTGGCACAGCCGGGAGAGCACTGATCGTTGTCGCAGCACTCTGTGCCGGTACCACATAGATCAAAAGACTGGTGCGAGAAGTCGGCTTGGTTCCAGCAGCTCGCATCGACGCATCCGGACGACAGCGCAGTGTTGTTGTTGTTGTCGGTGTCCAGGTTCGGCCAATAGCACTCCCAGCAGAATGAGCGCTCGTCGAACTGGTCGGCCATCTTCGAGTCCGTCCTTACTTAATTATAGGAAGGCGGTTGTAGTTCGGGAAATGTGCGCGTAGCCCGGAGGGACTGGTAGAACTTGGCCGGGCTAGCGAGCTAAGGGCCTGCAAGACTGTGGCTGACTGTGTGGGAATGATTGGAGTTCCATCCAGGACTGGAACGTCTGATCGTCCAGTGTCTCGCAGATATATCGGATATGCAGCGAGAAGAAGCAATTTGGACGTTAAGGAGCGACGGGAAAAAGGGCGCTTCTTTTTTCGCTGCGAGTGTTATTATTTTTTTAGCCGCGGCCGCACGACGAAAGAAAGGAAAGAGCGACTACCGCATTTGGGGACCTTGGGAGCCGCGCGCTTTCGTCATATGACCCCGCGGCTTAGTCAGGCGTGACTCAGCGAGACGACGCTAAAAAGAAGTTTAAACGTAAAAAGGCAGCGAAAAAAAAGCGACGAACAAGCAAAACAAAAAAGCCGACGAAGGAGAACACGAAAACGAGAGGAGAGGAAACTCAGGCGGAAACACGGAAGAAGGGAGGGCCAGACGGATTTAAGGAGGGCGAGCGACAAGCAGCAGACCGCGCGCACATCTAACTATAAAGGGCAATAGCACGAACGCTGGGAGTTCCCCGGGGATGCATCTGCAAAACCTGTTTAAGAGTGTCTGAACCAAGGGCCAGCCGATACACCAAGCCCCGCCGATTGACAGATTATAGGCTCTATATCATACCGCACGCTGCTCGGTTATATTACCACAATGGGGAATATTTGCTCTAAATCATCAAATCGACCGGACCCGTTTGCGCAGCCTGGGCGCGTCTTAGGGTCACAGGCAGCGTCAACAAAACCTACGCCAGCCAATTCGAGCACACCTCTGATACGGAATACCAATTCCTCCCAGCGGCAGCCGTCAGGTGGGAGGGTTTTGGGAGGTGGCGGTAATAATGCAGATGGAGACGGTGACGCCCGCAGCGCTGCTGCTAGGGCTGCTGAGGTTCGGCCTACCACTACCACCTTGTATATACTCCGTACCAATAAACGACCGCAGACGAGACTGACCTGTGTACTTTGATCAATAGGAACGCGCCGCGAAGCACTCGGCAGCCGGGAAGGGGAAACTAAGCTCCCAGCTCGCAGCACAGAAATCAAGGTCCAGAAATGATACACTAGATGATATAAGTCGGGCTGAAAGGGCAGCAAGAGATGCCCAGAGTGCTGAGGAATCTCGACGGTGGGACTGAACTCTGTCCCGCTTTACTCCGGACGAAGAGAAGGCTTCCCCTAGATTTTACGGCTACTGTTGTATTATTTGAACTTTCTTTCTTCCTTTTGTTTTGTTTTGGCGGCTGTTTCGTTTATGATTCAATGATCGTATGATTCAATTTCCGTGTCTATATATTAATGTCCTTTTAACGATTCCCCGACTGAGTTTGAAGAGCTATCGGCAGCAGGCAATCATACCTAGTATCTACTTCCAATAGCCGTTTGTGTTCGTCAGCGTTGTTGTATTATATAATGATATGATTTCAACTATCGTTAGCCTATATAGTTGGAAAGCACAATGACCCATGCTATTTTAGATGACACGGAATATGATATTCTGCGGTTGAAACACGAGGGCAATCGCTAGTTTATACCACATTGTAGCGGCCAGACGGCGCCCTGGCATCACTATCAGCTGCGGCAATAGTTCCCTCTTTTAATAGCCGCATTAGCTCACGCATGGCGTTGGTAACTACCAGCTCTGTATCACCCTCGACAAGAATGTACAGTTTCGGATTCTCTCCCGGTTGGGGTTCCTTTCCTGCTGGGTAGAAGCTGCCCTTGGTCGTGATCGAAGTCCCAGTTGCTTCCAGTATTTTGGCAACATTGGTCCGGTTGGTAACAGCCCATCGGGCTTTCTCTATAATATAGTTAGTTATCCCTTCACTTATCGGTACAAATAAATTTATGGGGAAATGAAAAAACTTACGTGGGAAGTCATTAATCTCGAGGGTGGCATGAAAAGCTCCAGCATCAGGGCCTTTGTTATCAATCGGCACACCGGATCTCATGACACCAGCCTTGTTAAGGCGAGCATGGATGTCTGCAACAGCAGAGCCTACTTTATCAAGGGTGTTTTTGCCGGCAGACGAGCTTGTATCTTTTTGTGTCCTATGGACGGTGATTTTCCCGTCCAGGTCCACACCTCCAGGTGTGCCCAAAGCTGGAGTTGCGGTGGAAGATTGGACGGCCGAGGCAGCTCTGCTGAACAGGTCAGCCTCCTTTTCTTTCTTGTCTTCCTCCTTATCTTCATCTTCACCCTCTTCTCCAGTTTTATACGTCTTTCGCTCTCGGTTACGAGTAGCGTCACGTTCTTGGTCAAGTCGCTCCAGTCCTTTACCTCCAAATCCGGATCCACTCGCTTTCTCTTTGCCTTCCTTTACTTTATCCAGGAATGCATTAACCATTTTCTGAATTGGCTCAGGAACTGGTTGACCACTCTGCTTGAGGGCTTTTGAGATATCAACCGAATACCGCTCCTGGTCTTCAGTTAGGAATGTAACTGCCGTACCGGTGTTACCTGCCCGTCCGGTGCGACCCGCCCGGTGAACATAGTCCTCAAGATGGTTTGGAGCATCATAATTCACGACAAGCTTGAGCTGCTTTACATCAAGTCCTCGTGCCGCTACTGACGTGGCAACCAGAATTGGGAATATGCCCGCCTTAAAGTCATCGATAGTTGAATCGCGGTCAATTTGATCCTTTCCACCGTGGATCGACATGCAGGGATAGCCCTTGCGCATTAAATCCCGTAGCAAGCGATCCGCTGCTTCTTGCCTATCAACAAACACCAGCGTTCGGGCGTCTTCATTTTCATCGTCAGAGTAAAGGTTTCCCAGTAATTCTAGGAGACGAACAAATTTGGCGTCATCGTTCCGCACTTCGACGATTTGGGTGATCTCCGGGGCAACAACGCTTCTTCCGCCAACTATAATCTCAATAGGCTTTGACAGGGTCTTTCGGGCCAACGCTTCCATGTTTCGAGGGAAAGTGGCGGAGAATAAAACAGTTTGACGATTGGGCCGAATGTTACCAAGGATTTTCATCACTTGAGGCTCAAAGCCCATGTCAAACATACGATCAGCTTCGTCAAGGACCACATACGTCACTCTGCGCAAGTTTGTAACCCTCCCCGAGTTTGCAGTAAGCAAATCAATCATTCTGCCCGGAGTACAGACTATAATTTCCGCGCCCCGTTTTAATTCCGCAATTTGGTCCTTTATCGGCGCTCCTCCGTATGCACAGACAGCCCTAAGGTTCAAGGCCTTCAAGAAAGGCCTGCATTCCCGATGAATTTGGGTGGCAAGCTCTCGAGTTGGGGTCATGATAAGGCTTATTGGGCCTTCCATGTTCTCTAAAGGCCGCTGGTCTCTGATATGCCGGAACATAGGGAGAAGAAAAGCAATGGTCTTCCCGGAGCCTGTTTTTGCTACTCCTATTACATCCCGGCCGGACATAATTGCTGGAACTGCCTGAGACTGAATTGAAGTTGGTCCTTCATAACCGAGCTTGCGTATAACATCTAGGGTTTGGACACCTAGACCACATTGAGACCATTTTTGAACGGGCGTCGGGACGTCGACGCCTCGGACTTTTATCCCATCCAGCTCTAGGCGTATATTGGCAACCTCTGCTTCGCTTAGACCAGCAAGATCAACAGGCTCGGTGTAGAAATTCTTTCGAAACGGCTCGTAGTTTATTTTTGAATGGTTGACTGTGGGTATATCTTTTTTACGTTTTGATTTGTTAGCTAACGCGAAAAAATCGTCTGCATCTGGTTCAACTGGGTCCATGTTAATGTCATTTTCGTCTCCAAACATTGCTTCAGGTTGTTGAAGCTTCGAGCTAGAGGGTTTGACACTCTGCTTCGGTGTAGATGTGCTTTGTTTTAAGTCCGACATGAAAGCATCAAGCGGATCAATTTCTTCCTCTGCCTCTGGTTCAGCCGTGCTGTCGGTCATGGCGATATCATTGGAAGATTCCTTGGGTTGGGGCTCCTCAGGTTTGTTTTCATCAGATGATACTTCAGGCTGTACGCGATTCTGTTCACGTCGTTCTGCAGCGGCCCTTGCAGCAGCGGCATTCTCCTCTTCGGTACCACCATCTTGCATAACAGTGTCATCGTCGTCATCGTCATCACCATCTTGCGGGGTGGTGTTAGCAGAAATATCTTCTAGGGACGAGTCAGGGAGTTTTAAAAGTTTTGTGCCCTTGGATTCCTCCTCTCCAAAATTGAGCGTCCTCTTCACGCTTAGTTTGTTTGAGTCGCTAAGATTTTTGGTCCCTAGGCCAAATCCGCTGACATTGCCTGATGATTTAAGTGGTGCAGCAGCTAAATAAAATATCAGTAATTGCCTTAAGTTTCATCGGTGGTGTGCAAGGTAGAGATTGTGCTTACCGGGCGAAGAGCTGGCACCAACTGAAGATTTGTTAGCCACAGCACTTGCAGATGAAAGAGTAGAGGCTTCGGACACTTTAGTACTACCAGAAGCCACGGTTGTTTTCTTCAGTTGCTCGGGAGTTGGGGACGATGTTGTATCCCTAACTCTTGCTGTTCCAGCAGAATGTGAGCTGGCGGTCGGCTGTGTCGAAGTGGTAGTCGTGGATACACCACGCGATAAAGCAACTTTCTTGTCAATTTCATCGAGAATACCTCTTGGTCCACTTGCGGCAAGCTCATTTTGTTTTCGTTCACGTTCTGCTGCCTGTTTCTGCTTCCATGCCTCCAACTTTGCTAGTCTTTCAGCCTTCTTTTGTTCATCAGTTTGGGCAGGGGATGCAGTAGATGCCTGCTTGGAAACCTGAACTAAGTTAGCGGATCCCTGGGTGAACAACACAACCTGTATTGTATGACATACCTCACGAGACTTTCCGCTAGACTCCCTCGTGCCTCGATCCCTACTCCCATCCCGTCGAGAAGCACGTCTGGAGTCAGCGGAGCCATCCCTTCGTCTACCACCCCGATCACGAGAATCATCTCGTCTGCTACGGTAGGCTCTATCCCTGCTCCTGCTTCGATATCGGTAGCCACGACTATCTTCTCGCGAACGAGAACGGTATCTAGGTCGCGAACGGCTTCTTCTGGGGCGATAGGAGGTATTGTCACGAGAGTCTCGAGTATCAACAGAGCGATCTCTATGTCGGTAAAGGTCTCTATCCCGGTCCCGGCCTCTGTCACGATGGCGTCTCTAAAACAAGGAAATAGCAACAGTTAATAAAGCTGTGTCATAAAAGGAGGCAGGACAAGCTTACCTCGGGACTGCGGGACCTCCGATACCCCTTCACATCATGGCGTCTGCTCTTGTCGTAGTTATCATCGCCTCTCCGGCTTCGTTTCGACGAAGAATACGTGCTGCCTACAGGTGATGGTGAGCGAGTATCCCTGGCCATGGTCAACTGGCCGAAATCTAACTTTTTATATTCCTTTTCTCTTTGCCGTAGTTGAATGAACCACAAACTGACGGTTCAGAAGGACAGCACTTGAAATAAATACCAACTGTCAAGACAAGGCGATATCATGGCCGTCTAAACGACCTCGATGCTGCGAATACTACTTTTTGGCTGTAAAGTGGATGTTGAGCTTGAAGTTGCTAAGTTGACGTTGAGGAATCGATAAAAAAGAAGCAAAAAGTTTGATAAGCTTAGACTGCTTATGTAATAAGCCAGAAGAGGTTTAGCGCCTTCTAACCCAAAACAAACACCCTGGATATCAAAATAGCGAAGCTCAAAGGACGGGTCAAAGACAGGAAGCAAGACGAAGGAGAACAAGGCCACCGACAGTTTGTTAATTCCCTGGATTTTGATCGCAAGCGCCGTCTTAAGCTGCCATCATGGTGTTCAAGCTTGCTCAATGCGGGCGATTTGCGGTGCGACGCTTCAATAGTCGCGTGCTTTACGTACCCAGTTCGGGACTGCGGACTGAAGTCATCGCCAGCTCTTTCGCGGCAAGGCTCAGTATTGAAGGCCTCTTTCGGTCGTTATCTCTGAGCAATTCGTATGCAACCACTGCCGCCAAGCCAAAAACCAAGGCAGAGAAGACTGTAAAGAAGAAGAAGAAGGCTTCTAAGAAACCTACTCCTCCCCCAAAGCGCGGCCGTCCTGGGAAGAGTAACAAGGAGAAGAGGGCCGAAGAGAAAAAGAAAGAAGCAAAGGTCCGAGCAAGGGAGGACTTGGAGAACCTCAAGGAGGCTGCGCTGACACCTCCCAAACCTCTACCAACCTCGAAAATCGCGATCTTTTCCTCTGGAAAAGGCCCTCTTGCGGAGTCGGTAAAGGCATTCAAAGAGATATCTCAGTTCCATGTTGACGTACGTACCCGAATTTATATAATAGGCTGGCCGTGGTTAAATAAGCTAATGTTGTGTATAGGAGCTTGGGCAAACTGCTGAAAAGAATGCAGAAACCAACCGACACAATCTTGAACAGTGGATTGAATCCCACACTCCTCTCGAGATAAAGAATGCCAATGCTGCTCGCCGCAAGCTTCGCCGCATCCTACCGAAGAAATCCAGAATTTACGGCCCAATTAAAGATTACAGGCAGGTAAAGGGACCACGTAACGCTTACCTGCTCTACTCCCTCGATATGCATAATAGCGGAGAGCTCAGGCATCTATCTGCTAAGGAGCGGATAGCTGAAACTGCTCGCAGCTGGAAGAACGCAAGTGAGAGTGAGAAAGAGGTAAATATTTCTTCATTCAATGTAGCATTTGAAAATGACTAACAGCAGTTATAGAAATATAAGTCTCTCCAAGAGGAGGATCGAAAGAGGTACATCAACGAGTACAAGTCGACCTATGGGGAAGAACCCAAGCTGGTGGAGTCAAGTGATGCTGAAGATCTTTAATCGCCGTTTTCTTCCCCTTCTATTATCGTGCCATGACTCGTTCTATATGCCTCTCCCCTTATTCCCTGTACCAATGTTTTGGTTTTCGCCAGTTTATTAGTCGTTGCTGTCCTTTTTACTATCGTCCTGTATCGTCACTGTTACGGTTGGTTGTTTCTCATTCAATGTATTCTACCCAGACTCGGCAATGGTATGTGGAGGTTTGCTGGCGCATTACTCCTTCGTTCTTTGTACCCCTAAAATTTCCCGAACATTGCTTATCGTCCTTAAACTACAATCTCTGGGGACCTTGGGCTAGAAGTCCAAGCTCCACTGGGGTACCCGGGGTTAGCTAGTTGAGGGGTTAATATACGGTCTATATTGCACGGCTACGTTTAATATTGACAAAAGATAGTATTCATTGCAAAATGTAACTACTTGATGATTTGATCAAGATCGTCCTAACATACTAATCAACGACCACCATACAAATTGGTCAATGATTACACGAGTAGCTAGATTACAAGGTCATCATCATTAATCAAAACGAAGCGTAATATCGTCAGAAAAGGATCAAGAGGAAGGGGGTCATAACAGGATAAAAGGTTCACTGCGCTGGGGTATATTAAAAGAAAACGCAATGATATCAGAAAGGCATAAATAGACGTCACCAAAGTCATTAAATAGTCAAAACCAAATTACCAAAAAAAGAAGACCGCCAGTTCCTTGAAGTTCCAGCCAAGTATGTCAATCATCCGAAACCGCCCCGAGGAGACTTGACCAAACGCACGACGATTAAAAAAAGACGCATAAGTAAACGGAGGGAAGGAAACGCGAAATAGAATCATTGTTCGCTCAAAGTGGGAAAGAGAAAGCATTCAAAAGCCACTGGTAAGTTTCTTAAACCAGCTCGTTCGCTTGGTGTTCATGCCACCATAACGATGGTCCATATCGCCGCTACTTTCATTGCTTCGGACTGGGTCGCGGCCTTCGCGACGAGATTCACGTCTGCGAGGTCGTCTGTCGAAATCCACATCCATTGGGTCAACAGGACGGGATTTCCTTCGAGAACGACGATGGATGGCTCTTCGTGCCTCTTCGTCGGATGATAAGGAAGCATTTTGAGGCTCCCTTGCAGGGTCAGGCACATCAATAACCGTAGCTACGATGGGAGGGACCTCGGGAGGGTCTGAGATCTGAGATTTCACCCAAGATGAGGTTTTATCTTTGCCTCCATTTACCATGGCTGGGTAGGGGACAGCTTGTTCGTGACGAGATGACTTCTCACGTCGAGATCGGTGGTGATCCGGTGAGGATCGACGCCGCCTAGGTTTCCCACCTTCATCGTCAGTACGATGAGAGCGATGGCGACGGCTTTCATGGGGGGAGAGAGGGTCTTTAGGTGGTCTCTCCGAACGAGAACGGCGGTCCGATTTCTTGTCTCGTTTAGATTCATGGGGGAGGTCCTCCATTTCTCTGGCATGCCGTTTTTGTCGGCGGCCTTCACGCTCAGCCTCACGAGCTCTTTCATCCCTTTCTTCACGCAGCCGTGCCCGCTCTGCCTTGCGTTTTGCCCTCCGAGCCTCAGCCTCCTCGGTAGGGCTGTTATTGCCTGTTCTCATTGCATCGGTAGTGAAGCCTTCGCCATCAGTATCCGGCCTCACGGACCTTCTTCGGCGTCTGGATTCATCCTTTTCTCTGTCTGTTTCTCTTCTTGAGGACTCATGACGAGAGCGGGATTTGGGGCGCTCGCGGACTTCGGGAGCCCGGGCTCCAGGCTTCCTTAGGGACAAGAAGCCAAATAGTCCTTCGGGACGCTTGGGAGATGTGTTAGAGCGACGAAGGGGCACCGGTTCTCTCGAAGAGTGATTCATGACTCCAAAGTCGTCTCTGCCCATTGGCATTTCACCTGATGGAGCCAAAGCCGGATCACTGCTGTGTTTCTTAGACTGGTAGGCCAAACCGGTTAGTTTAGTTAGAGAGTTAAAAGAGATGCTTTAGTATGTTACTGACCTCTTTCCTTGATCTGCGTCGCTCTGGGTCCTTTGAAGATTTGCCTGGAGGGGAGATTAAGCCATCATCAGGACTCAACATTTCTACGTCATCGTCGAGTGCATATGGGTCGCGTGGGACTGAGAGAAGAATGTTAGTAATTTCATGCTTGCGCTCTATGGAGTACTCCGTACGACATAGATGAATGCCTTACCTGATTTCTTTTTATGGCTGGAGCTGCGTTTGACGCGCTTGGATGACTCCACACCCATCATCCTTGCAGCCTTATCTGGAATATCGGGACTCTCGCGAGGGGTCAAAAGACCTGAATCGTCAAGCTCAACCGAGTGTCTTCTGGAGGTTGGCTTCGATGCAGACGCTCGCTTAGTGCTTTTCGACCGGACAGGCGGCGGTGGCGGTCCCGAGAGCATAAAGGGAAAACTCATCCCACGGCTGTGTTTAGAGGGCCGCGAAGCACGTTTATCCTTGTCTGAGCCAGAGGATTTCTCCACTTCAGCCCCTAAGCTGGAAACCTTCTCTTTCTTGGTAGCTGAAGATTTCGACCTGCTCAGACCAGGAGGCTTCTCCTTGTCCTTATCTTTTTCTCTTTCTTTCTCCTTCTTAACAACAGGCTCACCGGGATCCTTAGATTTGGATTCCTTTTTTGATGATTTCTTTGGAGCGGGTCCCGATGCCCCGGCAGCGCCCCAGAGAGCCCAAGATGCAGCTCCGGAGCTCCGATCGATCCTAGCGCGTTCTTTCTTGGTCGATTTCTTTGGTGTAGCACCTGGCATTTCATCGGCTACATCTCCGTCGGCTTTTGCTGTTGATGGACGTTGCGACGATCCTGCGTCCGGGTCTGAAAGAAGCTCCTTCAACTCAGCTGCCTCTTGTTCAGGTGGCGGAGGCGGTGCTGCTTCTTCCGCCTTGCTAGGCTGCTCGTGTTCCTCGATATCAGCCAGCTCGTCGAATGCGCCTGGGAAACTTCCAGGCACAGAATCACGTGGGGTCGGCTCCTTAGCTACCACTGCAGGTTCAGGCTCAGGAACGGGTTCCGGTGCCAGGTCTTCTTCGGCTGCTTTCTTTGACTTGGACTTTGTCTTCGTCTTGGACGTGGAGGACGTCTTGGTTTTTGAAGCCGCGGCGTCTTTCTTTGAGGACTTTGCGGCCTTGGTTGCGGGCTCCTCCACCGGCTCTACTACCTCTGGTTCAGGAACAGGCTCGGCGGGCGGGGGCGGTTCGGGTTTGGCCTTCTCCTTGGTCTTGGGCGCCTTCGCGGCCTCCTTATCGGCCTTCTTCTGCTCCAGCTGCTTGATGCGCTCAGCAACCGACGACTTGCCTGGTGCTTTGGGCGCTGAGGTGGTCGCAGTCGCAGAAGAAGTTGGTTGCTTGGTCGCTTTGTCAGCCGCAGGCGCGCTAGCCGCTTCAAGCGAACCTTCGTCTTCTTTTACTTCTTGGTCACCAACGTTCATCTTCTTCTCCTTTTTGGCATCTTTCTCCTTTTTCTCTTTCTTCGAGGCTTTGGCACTGGCCTTTTCGGCCTTACTAGTTGTCTTACTAGCGGCGGGCTTGGGCTCTTCTTCTTCAACAAGGTCGAGCAGGTCGTCTGCTGGTGCATCTACACCTCCCTTGGCAGCTTTGCTGCTGCTGGTTTTGCCACCTGATGCCAGCCCAAAGCTGCTCCAGTATCCTTTGGCAGCTTTTGCGGCCGACACGTCCTCAGCTGGAGTGTCGAGGTTGGGAGTCTCAGATACATCGACAACCTCCAGTCCTTTGCCTCTGGTCTTACTGAGTTTGCTCTCTTCAATGTGTGACGCCTTTGATGTTGATGTAGTTGTTCGTGAAAGGGAGCCCTTCTTGATAGAGGTCGGCCAGGGAGCAGTAATATCATCCCACGTATCGCCCATGCCATCCCCTCCATGTTCAGGTGGGAATTCTGGGGGTGTAGGCGCAGGCGGCGGCAATTCGCTGGCGCCCTTTTTGCCTTTCTTCTTGCTGTTGGTGATCGTACCCCATATGTCCCAGGTACTTTCGTCCTGGGTTTTGGGAACGGGCACCAACTCTCCTGAACCAACACCATCATCCTGTGGGGTCGTGTCAATGACCTCTTCTGCAACCTTTTTACCCTTCTTGCCTTTGGCTGCTTTTTCAGGTTCCTCTTTGACCTCAGGTACAGTAGCTTTTGATTTAGACTTCTTCTCCTTTGTAGGCTTCGAAGAACCCCAGAGACTCCAGGATGAAGATTGAACGGGTTCGGGTTCGGGTTCGGGTTCCGGCTGGGGCTCGGGCTCGGGCTCGACTACCGGTTCTGGTTCAGGGTCCGGGGCAGCAACCGCTGGTTCATCAATAATTGACTTTGCACCCTTCTTCTTTTTCTTCTTTGTGTCCGCAGCTGGTTGGTCGAGCAGATCGTCCAAAGCAAACGGATCTTTCTCTGGCGCCTTACTGGCCGCGTCTGCTTCGACAGTGGTTCCTTTCTTTCCTTTCTTCGATTTGCTTGTCGTACCACCAAAACTCCATCCAAAACCCACGTCATTAGACTCTGTCTGCTCTGCTATTGGTGCGGGCTCTGGTTCCGGGTCGGGGAGAGCTGTCGCGGCACCCTTCTTCTTTTTCTTGTCCTTCTTAGTGGTGGTTGCCCCAGCTCCAGTACCCCAACTGTCAAAGTCATCAACAGGTGGAGGAGCCAGCAGGTCAGGCTCCTCTTTGGTATCCTCGAAGAAATCAACTTTGGGCAGTTCTTCTGCCGGTGGCTCCTCTGGCACCGGATCAGCAGCAGCAGCAGCAGCGGCTGCTGCTGCTTTCTTTTTCTTGTCTTTCTTGGACAGCTTGGTCTCTTTCACGGCAGGCTTCTTCTCTTCCTCTTCTTTTTTCATGGTATCCTCGGCAGCCTCATCTATGAATTCCGGTATGTCAAGAGGGTCCTCATTTTTAGTAGACTTCTTGCCACTGTCAAACCAGTCCACCTCGTCCCCGGCTCCCGTAGCTTCCAATGCAGGGTCATCACCGAAATCAAAGGCCCCCGGAGTCACAGGGTCTGCCGTTTTGCCCTTTTTCTTCTTGTCCTTTTTTGAAGATGTGAGTGATCCGAACCATGACGTAGTTTCCGTCTTGGGAGGATCATCTAGCAGGTCTGCGTTATTGCATAAATATTAGCAAAGGCCCAGGTGAATACTAATAAAAACTGTAGTTGAATAGATGAAACAAAACATACCAGTACCCTTTGATTTGTCCTGATCAAATTCGTTCCCCCAGGAATCGTTATCAAACAGATCCTTCGACTTCTCAGCTTCCACGGGTGCAGGCTCGGGCTCATCCTTCTTTTTCTTCTTCTTGTTCTTTGAAGTGGAAAATCCCCAGAAACTCTCTGGCTCCTCTTCCTTAGTTTCCTCAACCACTGGCTCTGGCTCAGGAGGGGGTGGTGGCGGAGGCGGTGGATCAGCAGCACTGCCCTTCTTCTTCTTCTTGGAAGTGGTGGAAGGAAGACCGAACCCCCATCCAGCAGATTCAACAGGCTTTTTTTCCTCGGCCGGAGCTGGCTCAACGACCGGTTCGGGTTCAGGCACAGGGTCTGGTTCGGGGACTGTTTCCGGTATTACCGGCTCTGCCGCGGCACCTTTCTTCTTTTTCTTGTCCTTTTTGTTGGAAGATGAAGTGGCCAGTGAACTCCAGAAGCTGTCTTCTGGCTTTTCTTCCGCCGGCGGGGCTTCAACGACTGGTTCCGGATCGGGCACGGGTTCAGGTTCCGCGATAACGGGCTCCGCGGCCGCGGCCCCCTTTTTCTTTTTCTTATCCTTTTTGGTGGTTGGGGCTGGAATAGCGTCCCAGGAATTGAACGACTCCTCGGCAGGCTTTTCTTCCTCCTTGGGGGCTTCAGGCTCAGGCTCCGGGACTGGATCAAGTAAGGACGCTCCTTTCTTCTTTTTCTTGTCCTTCTTAGAACTGGTGACTCCAAAACCACCCCAATCTTCCTCCTCAGGCGGCGGCGGGTCTTCCTTAACCGGCTCCTCTTCCTTTACGGGCTCAGGAGCAGGTTCAGGGACAGGTTCGGGTTCGGGTTCAGGGTCTGCTGCGCCCTTCTTCTTTTTCTTCTTTTTCTCCTTCTTGGACAACGGCGCAGGCGTAGCACCCCATGGATCCTCTTCTGCTGGCTTTTCCTCGGCAACGGGCTCAGGAGCCGGTTCGGGTTCGGGCTCTGGCTCTGGATCGGCTTGCTTGTCCTTTTTACCTAGGTCAGCGAAGAAATCGTCTCCATCATTCGCCTTGTCATCACCAAGACCCCAAGGAGACGCGGTTTTCTTCTTGCCCTTCTTCGGCATGGCAAGGTCAGCCCAATCACCGAGGCCACCAGAATCTTTCTCCTCCGTAGCAGCGGGTTCAGCAGCGCCCTTTTTCTTCTTCTTTTTATCCTTCCCAGTCGTGGGGGCGGGTAACCCCCAGGAATTGTCAGGTTCCTTGTCAGCGCCTGCATCCCCAGCAGGATCGGCATTGTTACCGTCGAGACCGTTAGAATCAAAGCCAAAGTCAAATGCGTCGGATCCCGTAGACTTTTTCTTATTCTTCTTGCTGGTACCGCCCCAGGGATTCAGGCCGTCATCTTTGGTATCACCACCGTTTGCACCGAGATCAAGCTCGCCGCCTGTATTCCAGTCCTTTCCCCAGCCGCCAAAACTGAATCCGGTAGAACCCTTGGTATCTTCTCCGCCAAAGGACATGCCAATCTGAGGTGCTCCAGCGCCATCATCTAAGCTGACGTCCTGAAATGCACTTGGTGCTGGATCAGGAGGGGGAAGCTCGGTAGCAGCATTCTACAAAGTTAGATATGTTAGTATCGGGAACAATTGGTTCGATCCATGCAGTGATTCCACTGACCTTGCCCTTTTTCTTCTTCTTTTTGGATGTGGTAGCAGCTCCAAAATCACCCCAGCTGGTGTCTGCATTGGTGTCATCGGCCCAGGATAGATCGCCGCCAGCGTTCTCCTTTGCCTTGGCTTCTTCCTCCTGGCGTTTCTTCTCCTCTTCCTCCTCAAGTCGTTTCTTCTCTTCCTCCTCTTCCAATCTCTTCTTCTCCTCTTCTTCCTCTAGACGCTTCTTCTCCTCTTCCTCTTCCTGTCTCTTCTTCTCTTCTTCTTCCTCCTGCTTCTTCTTCTTCTTCTTCTTTTTCTTGCTTGAGCCTTGATCCGCATCTTCCTCACCTCCACCTTTATCATCGTTGCCTCCAGGGTCATCACCGCCGCCACCACCACCACCTCCTCCTCCGCCGCCGGCATCGTCTCCTCCACCACCACCACCACCATTATCACCTCCGCCATCGCCTCCATCGGCGCCGCCTCCCGAAGCATCTTTTTCCTCCTGGCCTGCGCCGGAATCTTTCTCTGGTGTGGTATCTGCCCACGGGTCTGCTACGGGCGCAGGTTTCTTAGCAGGCTTTTTCTTCTTTGCCTCCCTGAATCTAGATGTATCTTTGAAATCAACTGATATGTTCATAAGCGGATCCTGAAATAACGAAGATGGCTTTTTGGTTGAGCGGTGCCTGGCTGGAGCAGGACCGGCGTGTGTATCAACATGTGCGCGAGCATATTCGTCGCAAGCGTAGTCTGGCGGCAAATCGAGAATCGCATCATCGTAAGACGGTAGCGGAGATGCTTCTGGAGTCGAGAATGCTGCCTCCAGTATGGCTCTGAGGTCATCTATGCAACTAGGCGCTCCCGTAGAATTACGATTACGAGTTGAATATACCTCCACCTATTCGATAGATATGAGCATCAATTGACCTGGAACGGAGATGAAAAGAGGAGAAGAAGAAGAAGAAGAAGAGAAGAAGAAGAAAAACGGTTCATTTGCAGTACGCGCAGTAAAATCATTAAGCCATAGATGATGGAACATGCAAACTGCGTATCGGGTAACAGTTAAAAGGGGGCGGAGAGAGAAGAGTATCAATATAGGAGGGAAAAGCGAATAAAAGGAGTCAAAAAGGATGGTGCGTACTTTTGGCGAGATGCACCGTGTGATGTTCCCTGCAGTTGGAGACGACCAGGCTGGCAATTGTTCCACGGTCGAACGATGCCGCAGTCTCCTTTCTGATGCCATCAAATCCCCATCAACCAAAGGAGTATCTCCCACACGGCACAACGGGCTCCAGGTGTCGAGCATCTCCACGTCCGCGCAGGCCATGGTGCCGAATCGAAGCCTTCCTAGACGAAACCGAGTACTGGGGAGATGGAGAGACGGTCATGAGTCGCACAGATCAGGCGCGTATCGGACGGGCGACGAATCCCGATGCTAGAGTTGGCTGCCGGTGACGTCGTTCAAGGGCAAGGAGGCTCGACGATAAGCTTATCGATAGACATAAACGGAAAGCAAAAAAAAGCCCTCGCCTATCGCACAGAAAGACGCCCGGACGGTATCGAGAGGTAGAGTCGGCAGCAAAATAAAGAGGAAAAAAAAATAGCACGGCAGATCGAAAACAGGCACCCGGATGTCTAAAAGGTCAAAGTTCAACTTTTTTTTGCGTTTATCTTACCCGAAAGAAAAAGACAAAAACTGGAGCCTCTCGTCCTGACGCCGCTGGTGGTACAGAAGGGACAGAAAAACTAGGAAAAGAGACGACCAGGTTAGAAACACACTGAGCTGAGCCAGGCACTCCAGCGCAGGAAGTCCGGTCAGAGCACAGCACAGAGAGAAAAGGGGGGAAGAAAGGGGAGAAGAAGAAGAAGAGAGTGAGAGAGAGATCCTGTCCTCTCTCCTCGATCCTCGATGAATATGTAGTTATGTCCGGGGAAAACGTCGAGTAAATAAATACTGGTCCAGGCAAAAGGTTGAACCCAAAAAATGGAACCTAAAAAAAAATAAACAGAGAAAAGAAAGGATCAAAAAGATCTGGTCGATGGAACGAGCAAATACTCAGCCGGCTCTATAGCATCGAATCACAGTCGGCCGACGCAGCTTTCAGTTAGGGCTGCAGGGTCCGTCCACCGGGGCGTTGCAAAGCCGATGGATGGCGAAAAAAAACGTCGTTAACTATGGAGGCGTTGTGGAAACAGTTGTAACTTGTCCGGCCAGTCTTGGTGGACTAGTTACCAACCCGCCAGCGCAGGACAAGACAGGACAGCGAGGTCGACGGGACGGGGAGAGGATATGCGAGACAGAGAGCCCCCGGCAGCGAGACGAGACGAGATGCGAGGCACCAGAGCGCAAGCCTGCGATTGGCATCAGCAAGGGCGAATCATCGACATGGCGGGGGGTTTACCTGCAGCGACAGTCGACTCGGCGCGCGCAGACAGCAGCAGGGCGCGAGACACCACGATCCTCGAGTCGCCGGTCTTTACTTGGTGTCTTCCTGTCCGTCGTCCGCTTTCTTTACTATCGACTCTGCTAGTTATTGTTTATTGTTTATTGTCTTGTTTCTGCTGCTTCATCTTGACGTTTGTTGTTTTTTTGTCTGAAGTAAATAAAATAAAATAAAAAAAAAGAATAAAAAAGAAAAAAAGAAAAAAAGAAAAAAAAAAAAGAAACCTCAAGCTCTCACGTGACTCACCGCCTATTTGGCAGTAAGCAAAAAGAGCTGCAGGAGGACGAAGAAAGACGGCGACGGCGAGGATGCAATGCATGTATGGATATGCGTGGATGGGATGGATATAAGTAAGTAGAGGAATCGGGGGGGAGGCATGATGGATGGAGAACAGGTTGGGCATGCGTACATCCCTGAAACGGCCCGCGGCCGGGGAGAGCGTCGCCAGATCGCCCGGTCACCAGCGGCCAGCACATGATATGGAGACGGGCGCGGAAAACTTTGACCGGATGCACTTCGTATCGCGGAGGCTACGAGAAATATACAAGGACGGGGATGGAAGGGTACGGTCGGTAGTTGATGCGTCGATTCTCTTGATTTGGCACTACATAGGGAGAGCAGGAGAAGGAGGGAGCAAAAAAGGGGGATGATGAATTGACTCTTTATAAAGAGGGATAAACCAGATCCAACCACCGGACGCCGTCATGATAATATGAATCATATCAGGAACAAACATGGAAGAGGAAGAAGAAACGGAAGAAAGAAAGAAGGGAGGAGGAGAAGAAGGAGAAGTCTAAGACTGATTGTCGGGGACGAGGTTGCCCTTGATGCCAAACATTTTGCCCGTGGTGGCTGCCACGAACCCATCGATCTGTCTCGAGTACTGCTCTGCCTGGCAGGTGTTGAGCATGCTTTCTAGCCTGCTTGGTTCCTGGGGCAGTTTGAAGAGACGCTGCCACTCGTCCTCGGCGAGCAGAGGCTGCTTGAGCTGTGCGCGGCTGACGTTTTCGGCCTTGCGTTTGGCCTGCCAGGCGGCGATCTTGGTCTGTTCTCGGGCCAGGGCACGCTGGTAGTACTGGAAGTTGTTGTTCTCGGTGTGGTGGGTCTCTATGCTCTCCAGCAGCAGGTCGCAGTTCTTCTCGAGGAACGGGTCAATGTTGAGAGAGAGGTTGTCGAAGTTGGGCGTGTTCATGGGCGGGTTGGAGAGGGGGCTGGCGAGTAAAGCGGCGAGGGATGGGGGCAGGTCGAGTTCCTCCTTGGGTGCGGTGGTGGGGATCTGGTGCAGGTAGGAGGTGAGGAGGTGCGAGTTGTGGATGGTCACTGGCAACTCGACGAAGATGTCACTGTGTCTGAGGTTGGATTTTTGCAGGCTACGTCCGTCAGTACTACACATAAAAGGCAGGACTATACTCATTAGAAAAAGGGAGAGGGTACGCACTGCTCGGCGGTGAATTTGTTCTCCTTAAAGGCAGTCATGAACTGCGGGGAGAGCCTGAAGGCGCGCAGACTGAGCGGGCCCTGAGAGCTGCGGCTGACGTCGTGCACGAGGGTGACGGCAGTCTCGTTCATGTCCTTCTGGTAAAAGTACTGGTTCTCAATGACATTGAGGTTGAGGAAGTTGCCCATGTTGGCACTGGTGTAGTACCCCACATTGTTGGCGTCGATGTTGACCTCGCGCAGCATGCGGATCATCTCAGCCTGGTATGCGACGTTGGACTTTGCTCGGGGTGCCGACGCCGCGCCACTGGAGGGCGATATGTCCAGGTGCGAGTCCGGAGGCAGGTCGACGACGGGGAAGGGGAAGCAGTTTGTGATTTCGAGGGTGCCCTTGACGTCCATTCCAACCAGGGATCCGGTGGCTGTCGTGGGGAATGTCTGGGTGCAGTGCTTGATTATCTTCATCACGACCTGCACAGCCATCAGTATTGTCTTCTTTGGCGTTGTATTCTATGGATATATAAGTGTATGGTGTATGCGTACCAGCGCGTCCACTTGGACCGCCTTCAACGGACCGTCTCTCCTAGAACAAGGTCAGCTTCAAGTCCCCCTGCCAAACTCGCAGTTTCAGTGAACACATACTCTGCCATCTTGTCTGGTTCCGCGAATGCAGCGTCTTCCGTCTATGCAGTATCCAGTTCACGGGTCGAGCAGCTGCTTCGCAAGTTGTTGAAATCTCAGCTTCGTCTTCGTCTTCGTCTCGCCGTCGTCGTCGTCGTTTTGTGTGAAATAAAAAAAAAGATAAAAAAAGAAGATAAGTCGCTAAGCCGAGAACAGACTAGCGTGAATAGTTAATTACATAAGCATGTACTTAATTACATAAGCACAACCTCGACTCTTCAAAACGCCGAAAACGCCGAAGAAACAAAGACAAACGACGACGAGGAGGTGGAAAAAGCGCATGAAAGAGATGGAGAAGATGCGGGTTTGTGACTGTGGCAGGCTGAGTGAGTGCAAGGATGGTCTAGCTTTACATGCATGGGCAGAGACGTGGCTCGCTGCCCCATGCTTAGATTCTTCACGGGCATTGAGAAGTCGACTGAGGGGCATCTTTGAGACCCCCCGCGCGCAACACGATATATAGTTCTCGACCAGTACCTATTCTCATTATTATTACAACTCTCTGATCTTGATATCGATATCATCCAGAAGTAAAGAAAGCAAGAAGAAAGAAAGAAAGAAGACCAGACAATGGCGGAGAACAGCGGGTACGAGAAGTACAGCTTTGGCGAGCACTACCTGCAGAACGTCTACGTGCATATACCCCCTTCACCGGCCCCAGCCGACACCGGCTACTGGGTAGTGTATGTCTATAAACATCTATATATATCATCTATATATATAATTGATTATATTAGAGAGATTTACTGATAAGAAATAGGTACATCCACGGCGGGGCATGGCGGGATCCAGACATCCTGGCGCCCTCCTTCAAGGCGACGCAGGACCACCTGCTCTCCGACCCCTCCGTTTCATACAAGATAGCAGGAATAGCATCCATCGACTACCGACTGTCCGCACATCCTAACCACCCACAGGATCCCACTAGCCTGGATGCAAGAGAGTACCGCAACGCCAAACACCCGGATCACATCCACGACGTGCGGGACGGGCTGGCCCTGCTGCAGTCCATGTACGGGTTCGGCGAGCGGTACGTGCTTGCGGGCCACAGCTGCGGCGGCACGATGGCGTTCCAGGTCGTTATGAACCGCGTGCTGAGTGCGGCGGAAGTGGTTCGTCCCGTGGCGGTGGTGAGCGTGGCTGGCGTGACGAACCTGCTTGGGCTGGTGGAGGAGAAGGCGCATATCAGTGCGTACCGGGAGTTTGTGACGGGGGCGTTTGGGGATGAGGCGGAGGGGACGTGGGAGGTTGTGTCTCCTGCGGTGGACGGGGAGGGGGTGGGAGGGGTGGTTGATAGTTGGAATAATGGACGGGTGGTGGTGATGGGGTTTTCGGTGAATGATGAAGCGTTGCCGGGGAGTCAGTTGGGATTTATGAAGGGGACGGTGGATGCGTGGGCTGCTGCTGGTGGTGATGCAGGTGTGGAGAGACGGGTGAGGATTGTGGAGGATATGGCTGAGACGCATGATGGGATGTGGATTAATGGGAAGGAGGTTGCGGATGTCATTGCGATTGGTATTAGGGAATTGGAGAATATGCAGGTTTAGTACAGTCTATGCAGAATGAAGTGAGTATATACAGTATACAGGTATGCAGAATGAAGTGAGTAAGTATATACAGTCTATGCAGGAGTGAAGTGAAATGGGTATATATGCAAGAATGCTTTGGCTACATGAAGAAGACGCTTCGACCGGGAGAGAGGGCCATGAGCTCGCTCCACGACCAGAGATGCGGGTGAAGCCGAGCATGTTCCCAGAGAGATAGAAGAAAGTTGCGCAGGCCACAGATGCTCAGGGTGCCGAGGGAGCGACACAGCCGGCGCAGGACTGACTCCAGCAGTGATCTAAACTGCACTGTCTCAGGCCGGGAGTCTACCGCAGCCTCGACTCCAGCAACGAACATGGGCCAGAGCATGACTTTGACAAAGGACTTGCGGGGATCGGAAACAGTAAGCAGGACTTCCCGCAGTGTCTCCAGCAGAATCTTCCTGGCCACGAGGAGGATGTCAGACACGGACACGTATGAAGCTGTGGGAGTAGAGGTGGAAGCAGAGAACGAGACGTGGAGTAGTTGGTCCTGGTCGAGGAGATGGCCGAGGCTTCTGACGCAGTAGATGGCTGTGGCGGCATGGTAGATGCTTGCTATGCGCACCCAGTCCGGCCTGTCTGGACGCAGGAAGGCCTTTTTGGGGTCTAACCTGCTGCATGAAGAGGCTTGTTGTTGAGTGACTGTCTGCTGATGCATGGTATCTGCCCATGAAGCAATGGGGAAGGAGAGGATATCTTGTAGCAATGCATGAATGGAGGTTTTGAGAGTGGAAGTTGAGCTGGAGGTGGTGGTGGAGGTGCTAGAACTTGATGGAGATGCGTCTTCTCGGTCCAGGTCTTGTAGTTCTATGATGGTTGAATTAGAGTACGATTCAGCCAGGGCTCTGAGGTGGTTGATGCGGATGATGGCGTCGAAGAGCTGGTTGGGACAAGGGATGCATGTCCCCGAGCCGTCCTGGTAGACCTCCTGTATGATGTCTGTGTACTCGAGCTGCCGCCTTGCATCGAGCATGGGGAGAGACGAGGATATAGTGGTATAGCTCATCACGTCGGCACTACCTTGTTAACTTGGATCTGGATATATGTATAAGTATAGATAGTTACTTACATCATGAAGAAGGTGAGTAGGGAGTTCAGGCCGGCGCTGTGTCTGGCAATGGTCCTGACTCCTCCACGCATGCGAATGATATGACATGCTCCCTGGAAATGCGTCTGCCATGACCCAACAGCCGACAGTTGTGTCTATAACTAGGCAATTAGCAGTATTCAATCATGAAATGGGAGAAGGATAGGTAACTATCTACCTCGGCCATGAAGAGAGTCAGGACGCCCACGAGAGTGACGTCTGAGATGCGGGTCTCTGGGTCGGCGATGTTCCTGCTGATGCGCCTGAGCGTGTGGGACTTGGAGCGGTAGACCTCGCGGCCGACCTGGACTTCCACTCCTGAGTCCATCGAGTCAGGCTGCGAGCGGATGGCCTTGTGGGTGTCGACGGCGCAGATGAGGACGTGCCAGAGGATGGAGGCGAGGTCGTCCTGCCAGGCGGTCGGGTCCTCGGCGGCCTTGACGTCGACGTGGTTGATGGGATCGAGATCAGGCACCAGCTCATGCTCGTCTACACTGTCAATATACTATTCTATACATAATATGTTGTTGTAGTAGTAGTGGTGGTGGCTTACAGTACCAGATGGTGCGGACGACCTTCTGAATCTCCGCCGGGTAGGAGAACATCATCGACTCTGGGACGGCCCTTGGAGCCACCACGACGGCTGTAGAAGCATCTTTGACACCTTTATCTTTGGCGTCCCTAGAAGAACCAGGACTGTCGACTACGAGACGCGGCCGGCCCTTCTTCCTGGCCTTCTGGCGGTCGTCGAGAAAGGCGTTCTGGTGTCCGCCGCCCGCGAGCCAGACCAGGGGCTTCTGCTTGCCGTAGCCCAGGCAGTCGAGCCCGCGGTCCCGGCACTTTTGGCACGCAGGGAGGGCGCCGTCGCAGCGCACTCGTCTCTTGCGACAGGTGTGGCATTGCATAGTGAGTAGATGTACTCCGTAGAAGTGATTGATGTTAGTGATTGATGTTAGTGAATACTGTGATTGATATTTGGCTGTTGACTGTTGACTCGACTGTTGAGTGGCTGTGCATCTCGTATCTCAAGAGTCTCTTCTCCAGTCTAGATGTCTAAGTTGCTGTCTAACTGCTCGCTACCAAGGAGTCTGTCTCTCTTCTGCTAGCTAGCTAGATGCTTGTCTCTGTCTACTCGCAAGGTCCTCGGTCGACTGAGATATAAAGACGAGCTCTTCTTCTCTTCTTCTTCTCTTCTTCTCTTGATAATAACTGACTGACTGACTGGCTATCTGCTTCAGTTGGCTTGACGTTGAGCGGTCGGCGTCTTGCTTGTTCTTCTTCTTCCTGATTGACTCGACTAGTTCATGCACGAACGCACATCACCGGAGATGGCTTCTTCGGAGGCGAAGATGGGCGAAGATGGGCGAAGATGAAGATCAAAACTCAGCTTCAGCTTCAGCTTCACTCCTCCAGGCTTCATTATTAGGTTACTCCAGCTCACTGCTCCAGCTCCAGCTTCACTGCATGGCCAATGGCTCTCCGGGGCTGCTCCGTCCGGCCTGCACTGCCAATGAGGCCGCCGCAGTCAAGAAAGACAGAGACGGAGACGGAGACGGAAGACTCTTCTAGTCCTTTCACTTCTTGCTCCGTAGTCTTTTTCTAGACTTCCCTTCAGCTCGCCGGATCTTCCCGTCGGCATCAAAAGGCAAAAAAGGCTCGCTTGTTCTTGTGCTTCTTCTTCTTCTTCTTCTTCTCTGCGCCGCTTCTTCCATCTCGCCGAAGAAGTGATTTGCATAGACTCAAAATAAAGGAAAAGGGCCGAAGAGTCATCCCTCTCTCTCCTTTCTGTCTTCTGTCTTCTGTATCTCTCTTCTATCTCTAGAGTACGGATACTCTCTACTCTACTCTCTTTAGCTGCTCTGAATCACTTATTCGATCACTGAAATGGCCTGCGGAAACAAGTCTGGATGCTGTGCGGGCGAGAAGAAGCCTCCAGCAGCTTTCTCTTCCTCCTGCTCCCCTGCTGAGGACGACCATGCAAGAGTCATGGCTCGTCTGCCTGGCCGGGATGCTGCCTGCTGCGATCCCGAAGCTGACGAGCGCTGCGATGGTCCGTCTTGTCTTTTGTCTTCTCTTCTTCTGTTGTTTGATATAGAGATTAGAGATTAATGGATGAGTAGAAACCTGCATCGAGTCGCTGGCTGCCTACGAGTGCCAAAAGGCCTGCGATGACGGAGCTGCTGGTACCACCACTCCTATTATTCTACTACTATTATTCTACTTATATTTTGACATCTGGTACTAATCAGCGGTAGATGAACATGTCCATGAGCATGGAGACGACGGGAAGCATGGAGCAGTCGCCTGCAGCAGCCATCTCAGGCTCGCCTTTGAGCGCTTCAGCTCCTATCTCGAGACCGCCCAGTGCATCTGTCGCAGCGTCATCGCCAGCCACAGCCTCACCCCTTGCTGTGCCGGCCAGGCTGCCTCTTCTAACCCTCACCCTGCCCCTAACCATGCACATAAACATATCCATGAAGACAAGGATATTGACCTGGATGATACCTCGAGCTGCTCCGGACATGACCACGACCACGACCATGACCATGATGATGACCATGATCATGATACTCATAGTCACAGCCATGCAAATGACAATCCTACTGGCATCATCAAAGGAGCAGCCGTCGACCTGGAGAAATCTGCTGGCCACGAACACGTCCTCCTCGCAGTCTCCGGCATGACCTGCTCAGGATGCGGGAACAAGCTCTCCAGGGCCCTCCAGGAGTCTCCCGCAGTCTACAACGTCAAGGTCAATTTCGTCCTCGGAAACGCAGAGTTCGATCTCGACACTGCCCACACCAGCATCGAGGCCCTCATCGACCGTCTCGACAGGCTCACGGGCTTCCGCTGCGTCAAGGCTTCGTCTTCTGCAGACGACCAGCATCTGGACCTGCTTGTTCCCCCCGGCACTGCTCCCAATGTCACGGTTGAAAGTCTGCCTGCGGGGGTCACCCAGGTTGATATACTCGACGCCAGGACAGTCCGCATTGCATTCGACCCCCTGGCCATCGGAGCCCGAGACCTGCTCCAGGCCATGGGAGATCGCTCTTCGGGCCTCTCCCCAGTCAACAACCACAGGGACCCCGCTGCCTCCGCCGGCAGAAAGAGACTCTACGCCATGCTCTACAAGACCACCTATGCGGCCTTGCTTACCATTCCCGTCCTGGTGCTGGCATGGGGCCACTCGCTGACTGGGCCGCGCACCAAGGTCATCGTCTCGCTGGTTCTGGCCACGGGTGTCCAGGCCCTGGCTGTACCGGAATTCTACAAGCCCGCCATCACCTCGCTTCTCTACAGCCGCGTCGTCGAGATGGACATGCTGGTCGTCATCAGCATCACCGCTGCATACCTCTACTCGCTCGTGGCAGTGGGCTTCACCCTCGCAGACAAACCGCTTGCCACGCCCGAGTTCTTCGAAACAAGTACCCTGCTCATCACCCTCGTGCTGTTCGGCAGGCTGGTCGCTGCCTACGCGCGCATTCGGGCCGTGGAAGCGGTGTCTACTCGCTCCTTGCAACCTGCTACTGCCCTCTTGCTTGAAGATGCCCATGCTGCTGCTGCTCGCCAGACTCGAGAGATCGATGCCAGACTGCTTCAGTTCGGGGACAAGTTTCTGGTCTCACCGCATTGTACCATCCCCACAGACGGGAGGGTGATCGAGGGGACCAGCGAGGTCGACGAGTCCATGCTCACGGGCGAGAGTCTGCCTGTCCTCAAGAAAAGGGGCGCCCAGCTCATTGCCGGCACTATCAACGGATCAGGCAGTCTCACCGCCCTCCTCACTCGGCTGCCGGGCAAGAACACCGTGGCAGAGATATCCAATCTCGTCGAGGAGGCCTCAAGTCATAAGCCTAGGGTCCAGGATCTAGCTGACAAGGTGGCTGGATGGTTCGTCCCCGTCGTCACGGCCGCGGCGTCTATTGTTCTAGTGGCATGGTTGCTTGTCTGTCTGTTGGTACGGCACCAGGCTGCAGGCGGCGCCATCGGTACCGCCATAACATACACTATTGCCGTCTTCGCCGTGTCCTGTCCATGTGCCGTTGGCCTGGCCGTTCCCATGGTCCTCGTTGTCGCAGGCGGTATTGCGGCCAGGGCAGGCGTCATTATTAAGTCCGCCGAGTCCACCGAGCGAGCACACCGAGTCACCGACGTCGTGCTAGATAAGACCGGCACCATCACCACCGCTGACCTGGAGGTCGTAGAAACAGTCTTGCTCCCGCAGCCAGAACCAGAGTCACACCAGGATACCCTCTCCCTCGTCTCCGCCTTGGTCCGCGATAACAAACACCCCGTCTCCATAGCGGTATCCAAACACCTCGCCAGCCAGAGCCAGAACCAGAACCAGGACCAGGACCAGGACCAACCTTCTCAGCGCCTCGAGAACATCCGCATCATACCCGGTGCAGGCGTGGAGTGCATCACCGACACCTCCATCCTCCGCGCCGGCAGCGCTCGATGGCTCCACGTCCAATCCCACCCTGACGTCTCCCGCCTCATCACCGGTGGCATGAGCACCCTCTGCATCACCCGCAACGACACCCTGATCGCCGTATTCGGGCTCAAGAACAACCCCCGCCCCGAATCCGCGCGCGTCATCCAAAAGCTCCAATCAAGGGGTCTATCCGTCCACGTCGTCAGCGGCGACGAGACCAAGGCCGTTGAAGAAATCGCTTTGGCCGTGGGTATTCCCACCGCCCACATCGCTGCTCGCCAAACACCTTCCGACAAACAGGCGTACGTCACGCGGTTGATGGAGCAGGGCAAGACGGTACTGTTCTGTGGAGACGGAACTAATGATGCCGTGGCTATCACACAGGCAGACGTGGGCGTTCAAATCGGCTCTTCATCGGACGTAAGTAGAGCTACGGCTGATGTGGTGCTGCTAGGCGGGCTGGAAGGCGTGGTGGTGCTGCTGGATGTGTCGCGGGCGTCGTTCAGGCGTATCGTGTTCAATTTCGTCTGGTCCGCGCTGTATAATGTGTTTGCCATCTTGTTGGCTGCGGGCGCCTTTGTGTATGTGCGTATCCCGCCCGCGTATGCTGGTCTGGGCGAGATCGTGAGTGTCTTGCCGGTCATTCTGGCTGCCCTGAGCATGTTCTGGACCAGACGCTCTCTGGCCGTTTAATCCTGACTTTACTCGGCCTTACCTGATATGTTCGAGATGGCTATTGATCTAGGATTGTGGTAGGGCTCTAAAGTATGTAGTTTGTGAGAATGATATCGAAGATCTACGTTGTCCCTTGCCAAATGACGCAGTTATGCATGATGCACAGCCCTCTTTATGAACAAAGCCGTCATCATGCATACTTTAATCTCACTTCATAAAACCACAAAACCAACATAAATAGTTAAATAAATAAAAAGTCCAGTCAATCATTCATATCATGACCTGCGCTAAGGCAAAAAATAAAAAAGGCATACAATACGCCCAATCAACACCCCATACGCCCATTCCATTATCAATGTAAAAAAAAAAAAAAGACGGTATTTTTCTCTCTCTCGCTCACTCGCCTCGCTCACGCAACAGGCATACTCTCATCTTTCATAATCGAATCCCCGCCCTCATCCTCCTCCTCCTCTTCCTCCTCGTCATCCTCCTCAAGCTCATCCTCATCCTCATCCCCTTCCCGATCCTCAATAAACGGACTCTCCATATCCAGCTCCCGCAACCGGTCCAGCAGCTCCTCTTGTTTTCGATCCTGCCATCTCGCCAGCGCCGCACACGCATGCACCCTGAACCCAAACACCCGCGGTTCGTACCTCTGTCGCGACTTGTCCGGTATTAGGTCCGGGTATACCTGGAACAGCACGTTGTGGAAGGAAGACCCGAAGTACGCGCCGTCAACAGCGGCGTGTCGGGATGATTTGGGGTTATATATGTCTTCGCATTTGGCGCAGTATAGCTTTACGGGTTTTTGGCCGGGGATGTCGGATTGGCCCATGGGTAGGAGCGGGTGTTGCTCGCACATCACGCGCGGGCATTTGCCGAAATCTGCGTTTTTGTATTTCTCGACCTGCGCTCGTCAGGTCAGTTAGCGTGCGTACTTGAAGAGAGCGTTGAGGGGAATGTACCATTTTTGCTAGGCCGCGCGTGGTAACGATGTACCGGGCGTGAACCAGCCCGTACAGATGTCGGGCGGATTTCTCAATTTGTTCTCGTAGATCCTCGTCGGCGTCTAGGTCGAACAGGTCCGTCACCATGTCCAGCGCATACTGGTAGTATTGGACCTCGGTGTTGAGGCCCGTCAGGTTGAAGCGGTCGGTCAAGTACTCTTCGTCTATTTCGCAGAAGTATTCGTTGCCTCGGGAGGATATGAACTGTGCTCGCAATGCGTTAGTCTCGCGCACTCAAGCCGAGAATATCTGCGTTACACTGGTTCGAACGGGCCACTCACCCAGTCTCTCCAGAAGGACGTGTAGTCGCTGTCTGTGTCTGTGTTGTTGAACTCGTCCATGGCCTATGCAGAGTCACTATAGGCCGTTCTGCAGCTTTGAATAAAATAACCTGGTCGAGTGGTGGTTTTTGGGGGGTATTTTTTGTAGCGAGCTCCCACCCCGCTTTGCGTTGACGGTGAGGTTTGCCGTATCAGCTATTGATACTGGGGAAAGGATACGTTTCGTGTAAACAGGTACGACAGGCGTGTCAGCAGATATAAAGGCAGGGAAATGCAGGCTGTTCGTGGTCAATTATCTTGCATCTACAAACTTGGTGGCTTTTGATGTGTTTTTTTTTCTTTTCCAACAAAACAGCTTCTGGTGGCGGAGCTTCCACGTGATGCTGCTTAAGCCAGTGGCCCAGCGCTACGTCTACAGATATTGCGATAGTAGATGTTTATTGTTTTATAGTGCATAGATATATTCAATAGAAAGAGACGGCAAAGCAGCCAGTAGCATAGCGGAGATGGTATCTGTCAAACAAAGAGGATTGTAAATACACCAGTGAAACGAATGGAGCCACAAACAGACAGCGACAACGAACTATATACAATTGGATATAATCAGACGAGAAAAGGAAATTCGTAGCAGAAGAAAGCAAGGAAAGCAAATATAATCTATGAGGGATGGCTTAACGGCTGGCTCGGTTACATTCCTCGATAAACCTGCAAACTCCCTCGATGCCTCCGTAGTCGGACGCTGTAGGGGTTGGGTAGCGGATGTCAGGGAAGAATGCTCGATCACCAAGCTCGCTGATGCCAACGCTAGAAAAATCAGATGGTTGACGAGCCCATGGATTCTCCTCAGATAGGTTCAGGAGGGAAAAGTCACCCTCTGGGGTACCAAAGGGAGAAATGGACTTGTCCGAGAGCATCATCTCCTGCCAATTGACATACTCCGGCGTTCGCATAAAGGGACTTTCACACGGACAAGATCCTGATTCGGAGTGTTGGTGGCTAGGAGCAAAGGGAAAGAGGAGTGCCATCTCAGCTCCGTTTTTGCTCTCAAAGTCTTCGTCCTGGCCGACAACGCCCCTCTGAACACCAGCCTCGATACAAAGCCTTTCCACAGTATCCGCATCGCATCCTGGGAATCGAACGCGGATGGTAGACTGGTCTTGTAATGAGATGGGGAGATCACCGAGTGCGGCGAGTTTCTTTAAATCGTTGAGGACGGCGGCGAGTTCCTTGAGCACACGAGCAAAGTCTCCGGAGAGAAGGTCGAGCAGACCAGCAGAGTTGAGAGTTGGCTGCTCATCAGCGGCGAAAGACGATCCCTTCTGCATGGACTTGAAGCATCCGAGAGCAGTGATGGTTGGAGAGACCTTGAAGTCAACGTAGGATCCGGAGGCGGCTGGGGATATGGCGTCCATCTTACGGCCGGCCTCTTGCTGCAACGGAGTTACAACTTTGTACTTTTTAGCACCAGTTCGCTTGTCAATGCCGTCAAAGCGGATTCTCTGGCCAGACAGCCAGAACGAACGCATTGCTACCGACACATTCTGGATAACCTGAGCGGGGCAAGTTGGAGAGCTGGAGAAGTATCGTGCTCCACCTATTCTCCCCGCACCGATAGCATATCCTCCTGCTGTTCGACAAAAGGCACCTCCCGTGAGGTTTGGGCGGAGGGCTGACGCAAAGGGAGTCCTCGTTGTCAACCGACTGACCTGGGTGGCGATCTTCAGCGGCTGGGCGGTTCTGATACCGGCGGCACGACTTGACACACGGCCAGTGGTAAAGGAACGAGTCTGTGACCTGAGAGCCGCAATCCGGTTTGCGGGAGTCCTAGCAGACGGACGTATATATGCTGGCTGGAGCTGGAGGGCTCTGGGTTCAGGGGCATCGGGAAGTCTGTTCCTGATAGCTCGCGCAGTCTTCTCGAAGGCAAACCTATAATGATGTCAGCCTGGCGTCCTTTCTCCGCTTAACGACCGTAAAGGACCACTTACCTGGCTACCCGCCAGACCTTCGGAATGAGCTGATGCCCACTCGACGGCGGCATCGTGAAGAGACGATATCAAAACGACATCAACAACAACTGTGCAAGTCGAGGTTGAGTTGACGAAGAGAAGAAGAAGATCGAAAGACGAGAAGAACTTCTGCTTTCGTCATAGGCTCAAGTTTTTCCGGACCTCGGCGAAAAGCGGAGATATCGGGACAACTATAGTCCGTAATTGATGACTAAGCGAATATATCAAACCTTAAGTTTCTTAGTGACGGCGAAACGGAAGACGACAACGACGACGGAGTAGCTAGTCGAGCAGACGATAAAGCAAGAAAAGACAGCCGCCGGCGAGTTGCATTGCAACGGACAGGATGTCGTCTGGGTTTGTATCTGCGGGCGTGGAAGGGGAGGACTACGAAGGCAGCAAGCCCAATGACGAGTGGCTGAAGGTAAAACAGGAGCTCGAGGAGAGTCGCCAAAGGAGGGCTGTTGAAGGCCAGCAAGAAGGGGGGAAGAGTCTCTACGAGGTGTTGCAGCAGAATAAGGGTATGGCATGAATAAAGAACGCTGGTGTTAATGTTTCAATTCAGCTTCAGTCTTCTATTCTACTGCATTTTCTACTGGTACTGACGGGTATGGATTACACCAGCTGCCAAACAAGAGGCGTTCGAGGAATCAATACGGCTGAAGAACCAGTTTCGAACCCTGGATGAAGACGAGGTTGAATTCCTCGATTCGATACTCGAGTCCACACATGCCAAGGAGGAGGCATTGCAGAAGGAGACGAGTGAGAAGCTGGAACTGTTTCACCGGCAGCGTGAGGAGGCTGAGAAGGCTCTTCTGGATGCGGAGACTGGGAACGCTGCTGAGCTCGTTGGGCCTGCAGATGAAGGTGACAACTGGGCTATCTCAGGACGTAAACGCCGACGGCCCAAAGAGAAGGAAGGTGGTCTGCTAGGTCTTAAACGACGGAGGTCCGCTACCGCTGCAGAGAACAATAATAATAGCAGCACCCACAGCAAAGATGGCAAGGATAAAGCAATGGAAGGAGCTGAAGCCACTCAACCTCCGCCTATCAAGAAGCCAGAGCCGAGCATCCCGACAGAAACAAAGGCGTCAACCCTGGGGCTGGGTGCGTACAGCTCTGACGAAGACGACTGATGTGTGGCAGGAAGGATGCACGAATGCGCGAATCTCCCATAAGGGGCGTGCAGCATGCACAGTTGTGTTCCATGCATGGTTCTTCCGCAAGCAAGGAGGTGAATCAGCATGGCTCCTAAAGTGAGATGCCAGCACTTATTCATCGGACTGGACATCCTCTACCTACAATCTACAGGCTGAGCCTCCGGCTGCCTTTTATCATTACGTCTATCTACCTATCGGGGCGTGTCTAGCTACCATCACAAGCTACAAGCTCTAGCAGGAGGGAGACTTAAAAAAAAAAAAAGGCCCGATGAAACTATCTTATATTGATCAACGCATGGATGGCGATTAATTACAGGTATTAGCCATCACCTGGAACCCTGGATCCTCACCACTGAGGTCGTTATCCGTCGTCATTATGGTCGTCACTGCATCCGAGATAATCCATTTATCTGCAGGAAGCTCAGCCATGCTTGACGTCCATGACGGTTCCGTTCTCGTCGACGTAGACGTTCATCCTGCACAGCCCGCGGGGTTAGCAGGCATATACTAGACGACCAACTCAGCCATTAATATCGACAATTATATTAACACACCTATCTGGTTTGAAGTCCATTGTAGACATGTCACCTGGCTTGAGAACTCGGTGTCCCTCTGGAAGGTCCTTCTTTGCAAAACACTAGGAAACAGGGCAAAAAAGCAATGTCAGTGCCAGAGTAACCGGCATGCATCAGCGGGCTCAAGCTTACAGTCTCGTTCGACTCGGACTCTGTAATCTTCTTGCCCATCAGCTTGGCCGCCCAGGCAGCCTTGTCATCTTCTGACAGATTCGGCACAACTAGAGGCATGGTTGATGGGGTGGATGATGTAGATGTGAACCGTCCAGGGGCCAGCAGTTTCTTGAGATGATGCGCCGTCTTTACTATCGTCTTGATGAAGCTTGATATGGATGGAGATGGAAGATGAAGAACAGGAAAAGAGGGAGAGGAGAAGAAGAAGAACAGCTACCCCGCGGGGATATTTATATACGGAGGACGAAGTAACAAGATGCTCTGTGGCGAGTTGGATGCGACCTCAGCAGGCATCAGCATTTTCTTACTTCTCGACGTCATTTTCACTTTCCTACGGCATTTTCCTTCTCCAACTACGGAGTACAAAAGTGAAAAATAGAGGACAAGAACTCGGCTCGGACCTTGCAAGACATGACTTCACTGAGAAGGTTGATGACCGGCCTCTCTACTTTGAGATAAGTAGCAAATATATAAGTACATCGCCGACCAGGCTATGACATACACGGCTAGCTAAGTCTCCAGGCCATCCATCTTGTTCGTACGAGACAAGCCATCTGACTAACAGACGCAGCGCACATCTGGCTTCGAAAAGGCGTGCATACATGAAGACGCTACAGCGCACTAGTAGCGGATAAGGGGTATGCCCCCTGTTACGGATTACTCAAGACGGCACCTTGACGGCCACAAGCATACGACTCGTCCGGGGCTCCCCTGGATATGCTTGTCATCGGTGGGGGAACAATGGGCAGGCCGCGGAGTCCTGCTTGCGTTTGTCAGGTCCCTTATGCATGGCCCTTTATAATAATAATGTGCTGTTTCAGCTGCCGTTTCTCCTTCTATGGAGGATAGGATGTTGTCCTCGAGCCACCGGCAGACAGGCCATCCAAAATCCACGGACGAAAAGAGGGTGTATGATGGCCGACGATGAACGGTACCGCTCGTTACAAGCCAATACGGACCAGTCTTTTCGCAGCCTTCGCCCGCCTAAAAAAGTGTGCAATTTATAAAACAATAAATTCTCCATCCACCTGCAGGTGGGCGCTTCGTAAAGGAAAACTGCGAAAGAACTTTAAGCCTTTTCGTTCGTTTTTGCTTCTCCTGGCGGACGCCAATCGCCGGGATGAGAGGGAAACCGTTTGACAACCTCCCTCGGACTTACATATATCAAAGAGAAGCGGCTGCTGGCTAGGCTTACGCACTGCTCTCCAATTCCTGGGTCAACTAGCAGAGCCAAAGACCCAAAAAAAGAAAAGGAAAAATCTGACGGGTATTTCGCTGGCTTGACCATGCTTGCCCGTTGTCCATCGCTCGTTCGGCCGTGCAGATCAATCTCCTCTCAAGACTGTCCTTGCCTGTGACCAGGTAAAAATAGAACGATTCCTCGACCAGTTCGCAATCACATCTCATTGCTGTTGAATTTTCAACAGAAGGGAAAGCCCTTCTCCCACTGCCGTCTCTCGTTCACCACCCATCTACTTCACTCCTTCATGCGCATCGCCATCGACTGGCGCGTTGTCTTAACCGTGTTGCCGGAGGGCTCCATCCTTTGACCCAGCACGTCCAATCATGTTACCGCCGACACTCATTCAACTACTGCTGCTACAATCATGCGCTTCTGCATTAGCAACCACTCCATCAATACGTTCTTCCGCTCGTCCAGACTCATGTTCTGACCAGCTTGGCTGTCTAAAACAAGACGACTCAAAACTACCACGGCAATTTGACCATCTCTGGATATGGGACGAGATATCCAAGGCCAAGAGGGCCGATGACGATAAAGGGAAAGGAGAAGGACGGAAAGAAGGTGGGCGTGGAAAAGAAGGAAGCCAGGGAGAAGATCAAGAAGGAGGACGTGGACCTCCACCCGGTCCAGAGAACAAACCACCGCCTGGACGTCCTGATAAGAACGATCGCCCTAACAATGGCCGCGATAATAATGGGGAGAATAAGGATAAGGATGGCAAAGGAAGCTCAGGAGGCCCGGAAACAGGCAGCGGTAAGGGCGGAGGAGATGAAGAAGGAGATAAAGATAAACCAAAAAAAGGCGGAAATGAAGGTGGAAATGGAGGAGGAAATGGAGGAGGAAATGGAGGAGGAAAAGAAAATGATCCTGATCCCCCAAAAAATGAACCCCCAAAAAATGAACCCCCAAAGAATGATCCGCCTAAGAATGAGCCCCCCAAGAACGATCCCTCCAAGAATGATCCCTCCAAGAATGATCCCCCCAAGACTGACTCTCCTCCGCCCGTTCCAACACAACAACCAGACCCGCCCAGGGATCCTGTTCCAAACAGACCTCCTCCAGACCCGATGACCCAGCAGCCAGACCCAGCACCTTCACCTACCCGGGACCCCACGACTGAAAAGGATCCTGGGACTCGGACAAACGGACCACAGCCTACACATGAAGACCCTTCCCCTTCACAGTCTCCGCCCCCAGAATCAAAGCCAAGCGCGGAACCAACCGAAGGTCCAACTACTACCAAAGATCCAAAACCAAATTCTACAGACCCAGTGCCTGCAAGCTCATCATCAGAGCCATCGGGGTCATCCAAGTCCCCAGAGCAAACAACATCACCAACCGGTGATCCAGCAGAGTCCTCCAATGTCCCACCAGCTCCAACATCTTCATCTTCCTCTACTCCCGTGACCTCTTCTACCACTCCCCCGGGCCCTCCCAAATCGAAAGGCAGTAGTCTAAGCAAGGGCGGTGTTGCTGCTGGTGCGGTATTCGGTGGATTCGTCGTTATCTCCCTGATATTCCTCACATTTGTCTACTACAAACGATGGAAACATACTAGGGAGAACCAGACCGATGAGGGTTCCAGCAGGCGACTCTCTCCATTCCCCCCAACACCTCCTATGGGCAATGTCCAACAGACTCAAACTGGAATTGTCGACCACAATGAGTCAATGGCATATGATCACAATATGAGCTCCTTTGGTGTCCTATCAAGCCCTTCTCAAGGGGACTCATATCCTCATAGCATGGAGGAAAAAGGCATTGCTTATTCTACATACCCCTCCCACCAGGATGCTGCCTACCAGCCATCGTTGAGCCAATCTGCGCAAAACGAGTTACATCTACCTCAAGGTAACATGGGTAATACAACCCAATCCAACTTGCTCATTGCCTCCAGTGAGCATCAACATCAGTACATGGCATACTCGCCAGATTTGATGGAAGATGAAAAGACTGGCTTCCACGCAGTTGGGGCACCCGGTCTTGCTCCACTACCCGAGTCGTCCCAGGAGAATCTACATCTACACAATTCTTCAGAAGAATACAGGCGGCCTATACCAAAAAGATACAGCGCGGTGAATTCACACCAAGCAGGACGAAACAGCCTCATGCAACTTACGAGTCACAACAGTGCTGTATACCCAGCAAACTCGCAATAACCGTATACCTAGGAGTTCTTGTTCGCATATTTATTTCTTGTCTCGCCTTTGCTTCTTCGGGATGCTACTTACATCAAAATCACTGGTACATACTTGTGGTGGACTCCGCTTACCGATGAAGTCATTTAACCGTTCATTCCTGGGACCATTCTTTTCACTTTTGCATTTTATTTTACCTCTGCTCGCGCAGTGATTTCCTTATATATCCGATCCCTCTTTTTGATCTCCTTGTATTATGAAATTTCTCTTGCTTCAGATCCCAATTCCTTATTCCACCTCAGGAATGGGACATCTACTCCCTTGTTTGGGTGCTATTGCTTCCTTTTTACGTTCTCTTCTCCTTTCTTTTGCTTTCTCACCTTCCGATCAGCTGGATTTCTGTTTCTAGGCTCGATTCGTTCACCAGCCGTCAACTACTCCGTTATTTGAGCTTGTACGCACACTGTGGGGTTAGTGCTACTATTTTGGCAAGGCTCTTATGGGATTTCTTTCTTTTTTTTTTCTTTTTTTTCCCCTATTCACTTTTCTTATCAATTAGATACTGATGATAGTTGGATCCCTATACCCAGATGAGGACTGGTTGTAGATGAATGATAAATAAAGGGTTAATTCTACGGTTTTCTGTTTGAATTTTGTGTTTCGTTTTTTCTAAAAACCTACTATACCATGAAATAAATTAAATAACTGGGGTACACCAGGTAGATTTGAGACACTGAGCTCCATTAATATACCGAAGTGAATCATCTTCCCGCACCTGGCCCATAACCATGGCGCAGTGTGAGAAATCTCTTATTAGAAGAAGTATCTGAGAACGAAAACGAGGTATAGTCATACAGGAGATAAAACAAAAACAAACTAACGCTGTAGAATTAGCCGCCGTTGAAAAGAAAGAAAAAGAAGAAAAAGAAAAAGAAATATTGCGGCTAAACCAGCTAAGTTGCAGGTTATGTCACCTTTTATTTACTCAAGAATAACAAAGAAGATTTGAATGGTGCGTAAAAAGGGGGAAGCAAGGGGGATATATCTCCAGGAAAAAAAAAAAAACAGAAGATGAGATATGAAAGATCCATATGAGTGCAATCCAGTATCTAGCCTTTGATCATTCGTAAACACCGTTCCATGCGTTTACCACGTTCTTTCTCTCGTATGAGTGTTGTCTTGACAAAGTCTCGAATGGCCTTTCTTCCAGTTTGCTCTCTCCAAGAACTCCATCCAGCAAGTTCACCAACGACAACTTCCTTGTTCCACGAAATTTCTTTTCTGACTTCCTCAATCTCAGTCGTCAGTGTGGCAATCTTGCTCTCTTGTTCGCGGATAGAGCGTTGGCGAGATTCTTCAAGCACAGAGAAGTTAAACTTCCGCGGTAGAGATGAGGAAGCAACTGCGGAACGAGCGCGGGAGAGTGACCTCTGTGCGGAATTGAGTGTCAGAATGAGATTGTTAGGCCGGGAGAGGGAAGTGAGCATTGCTCTTGTGGTATTTTGGGATGAGGTGAGTGCGGCTAAAAACTGTAGCAGGGGAGAGGAATCGGTTGATGAGAGGTTGAAAGAGGATACGAAGCGGTGGAAGGCTCGGACGTATTGATGTGGAAGAATATTTGCGGGTGGCTGCAGTGACGAAAACATAGAGCTGCAGAGGAAAAGAGCATCTGCAAAGTCTGTAGATGCATTTTGCAATAGGTATCCGCAGCAGATCAAGTTTCGGGTTCCTTCATTGACAGATTGGACTGCGTCTTCGGCGTGGCTTAGAATCTGTTGGGTGCTTCGTATAACTTCTGCAGACGCAGGCTCGTAATCATCCATTATTGATTCAGCAAGGACTGTAGCCTTGCGTGCAGAACGCTGGTCAATCATTTCTGTTTGGATCTCAGGGACAAGGAAGAATTCCCAAAGCAATTCGTGGGTCGAGAAAGTTGGGTGAGCCAGTAGAACTTTCAGCAGTCTATCCAAACGTTCCTGAATATCATGTAAAACAGCCCTCGAGGGCTTTGAAGGTATTTGAAAGGGGGATCGGAAATGAGGCATCTCAGGAAGATATGATGCAGGGTGTTCTACCCGTAGAAATCGAAGAAGATTTTCAAAATCGTTGAGGCTGCGCCGGCAAGTTGTGACTGTGTACGTGGTCGTGCGAGGTGCTTTTGGATCGGGAGAAGGCGAACTGGGAGAAGGAGCACCAGATTTAATAATGAACCGTATTCCAAAGTCTTCAACAAACAGAGATCTAACAACACTTGTTGTACGGTTACTTGCATCAGGCGAGGATGGGAGTGGACTAGAACAGAGAACCAGATCGTCTATTCGGTTCCTGATTTCATCGTCTTTGGCAAGTTCTATTGCCGTGAGCCCACGGGATTCTCGAAGATGGACATCAACGCGAGGGTCAGCAAAGAGAGTCCTGACAAGGTCAATTCGACCGTATTTGCTAGCCACCATCAACGGGGTAAATCTTCTGTCATTTGTATAATTGGGATCTCCGTCACACTGCCTGAGTATTCTAAGTAGTATTTGCGGGTCGCTGACAATATGAAGGAGGGTATTTCCCTTTGCATCAACATGATCATCCAACCGTAGTGGGTTCCCATCGTCTTGGGCCTGGGTCGCTAATGTCAACGCTTCATTCACCATGGGGTTGTAATCAGGATGATCGTAAGACCTGCACAAGGCGAATAAAGGCGTTTGTCCGTTTCTGTCTCGTAGCGTCCAAGGCAGAGATTTTCCCAGACGTGAAAGTAGCGCGGGTGAGTTGAAGAGGTAGTGTGCAACGGTGCGACCCCTATTATCAGCCTTTGCAAGGTATGAGGCCACTTCAGATTCGTTTCCCTGGAGAATGTATTCAATGAGGATGTTAATGATTTCAGTATACGCAAGTTGAACGGCAGCGCTCAGTAAGGTAGTCCCCTCGCTGTTTGTATCTTGAAGAATGCTTTCCCGAGGGTAGTACTCGCTCAAACTCAGCAGATAGCTCAGAGCTTCTGGCTGGCAAGCTTCGACAGCCATCATTGGGACCGAATGTCCAGACGGATCTTTGGTTGCAGTTAAACTCTGAACAGATGTATCGCCTTCTATTCCACCTGCTATGGATCCGAATGTAGTAGAGCGTGAAAGGAAAGACGTGATTGATGATTCCGACATGCTCCTTGTATCCATCGATACCTTCTTCCGAGGCTTAGGTCGCTCCATGGTTGTTGTAGGTTGATCCCATGTTTGGAAGGGGAAGACATGAGCTAATCTAGGTGTTTCTGGCACATCATCTTGAATGGCACAACTCGATTCTGAAAAGAACAGCTTATGCCTGTTGCTTGGCACTCCATTTGGTACCGGCTGTTGGCGCTCATTTTCTTGACTCCTCGAGTCATCCTGTTGCTCGTTTTCACATTCGTTTTCATCAGTAACTGGACTTGATTCTCGAAGCTCCGGTTGTAGAATAGCGGTCATTTCTGGAATTTTCCCATGCTTGGTTGCTGACCAAAGACGTTTATTTCTCGAGCTCGCTTTTCTTAGGCCTGCAGAGTCATTTTGAAGGTATATCAAGACTCCTTCAAATGTACTAAGTGCGTATCCAGATTCTCCAGATTCGACATCATCTACAAAGATGAAGCGTTGCATGTATAAGAGCCTGGCATAGAGGTGCCGTACATGTGAGCGTATGACAACTAGCAGTAGCAGGGAAACAAGCACATCGGCATTGATAGTGAGAACAGAAGGCTTTTCGTTCTGGTTGTCGGGTGCAACCGATGCCTGGTCTATGGTAACGATCTTCACGGTCTTCAGGAGTATGGCAAGCATGTCCTGTGGGCATTTTGCATCGGAGATCTTTCTGAATTCCTCAACCGCTGTTGCGATGCGGCGTCTAAGATCTTCTCTGCCCTCATGGCCACCTTCTACCGGTATCCCTACCTGAGACACATCGATATTCTCCATCTGGCGAACGCGTAGGTCGAGGTCTAGATCATCAGATTGGCGACACTCACAAAGGCGAGGGAAGAGTAGGTTATCATGAACTTGCTCTAGTACATAGCGTTCAATCAGACGTTCAACCATGGGGCCAGTCAAATCAGTGGTAGCACCAAGAAGTGAGAGTTGTTGTTTGTCCACAAGACGAAAGATGTCAATGGCTGCGGTAACTGCAGTGTCCAGAGCATTTCTCATTACATCCTCTTCATCTTCATACTGCTCTGAAGCGCCAAATGGTAGTGAGTGGGTGGAATTTTGTTGCGAGGAGTAAACCTCACTCCGGTCAGTTGGACGTTCTGGTGCCACAGGGGATTCGGATGGTGGAGGTGGAAGTGGTTTGCCTAGTTCTTTGCCAAACTCGCGGAAGAGACGGTCCAGACCGGGTTTCATCTGCTTTGCAATCAAGGGAAATTTTGACAGCAGGTCACCAAACGAGGATATCTCATTGCGATGGTAGTTGGCGGGGAAAGTAGAGGAGGCGTCCAAGCCCGAGCCATGGCGGAGTGAGACACTGTCCAAAGTACCCGGAACTATAGCCTGGACAATCTGACCAGGTTCATAGGAGCCGACTAGAGGTTTGGAGATGTAGTAAATGAGCCACTGCTGGGAGCTGTCGTTTGGCGAGGAATAAAGGACGTCGCTGAGCAGCTGGGCATGGTTGACCATCTTAAACCCCTTATTGCTGTAGACTACCGACTCTTTGATGACGACCGTCCGTCCATTTGCCGTTGCCATCTGCCATGCTTTGCCCTTTTGATCCCTTAGCGACGAAAGCTCTTTAGTCGCAGACGAACCCGGTGAGCCCGTAATTCGCAGGATGTGACTGGCAAGAAAGTCCTCGGAGGTGACCAGGTCGGCATACTGCGCGCCGGACTCTCGATCCCGTGAATTAATAAGAGATTCTGTCAGGGGGACCAGAAGAATCTGTCATGCGGTCAGCTAGGTGTATTCTATAGGAGATCGTATAGATGTGTAGATCTTTTTGGGGAGATGGGAGCATACATGGCTCTCCACGGGAACACATTGCGACGGCAGAGAGCTCCGGAAAAAAGAGCGGAGAAACGGGTTTAGAGGGTGCATTCACACGACATCGGACGACCTGGCGGACGGGTCCCGCCGCTCGTCAAGAGTCCCACGCAATGGCAATGGTCTGCGGTGATGATATCCTGGCCCTGGGGGGTTGAGGCCCGGAGGTCGATGGGAGCAAGCTAGGGAGCAGAGGTAGCGGCGTTAAACAGCGAGAGATGAGCCTCACAGGTCCGGACTGCGTGTTATTGAGTAGACACTGTCGCCTTCAGCTGGTCTGTTGTCCTCTGGCTGTCTAACTGTCTGCCTGCCTGCGGTTGTTTGAAGTTGAGCTTCTCTTCTTTTCTTTCTTGCTGCTTATCTTGAGCTTGTGAAGATATAAAGCAGCCTAGCGATAAGGGATTCACGTGATCCAGCTTTCATCGGATATTGGGAGCAGGACAAAGTATTGTGAATAACATCAGCTGTAGAGGCTGCAGTGACAGAGGGACAGTGGTAGATTGGCAATAGAAAAAGGAGAGGCCGGGTAGGACATGTATAAGATGCTAGCTATAACAGTATTGAACATGGTAGTATACATAGATCGTTGACTCGGACAGCCGGGACAGCCGGAGCCATCATAAAAAAAAGAGTCAAGGTAGCCACGGAGTCAAGAGAGTAAAACAAAAAAGAAGCCAGAGACAGCTGAAAGACCGTCTAACCGAGACGTCTTACTGCTGGGCTTCGTGTGCCGCCGAACTTCAACCTCGTCGAGTCAGACACCCGGACGATTCTCTCACGAAGGACCTTGCCCTCCTTTCCTAGCAGGACCTTGGTGAACGCTTCTCGACCGGGCCCAAAGCCTCTGAGGATCACTTCCAGCCCGTTGATCTGCATCAGAAACCCTCGCTCCTGTATCTTGCCCATGGTATAGACGGCCAGTTGGTGCGCAGCATCGTAGTCTCCTCGGTGGCCCTTGCGGAAACCAATGTTTCCTGTGCTGACGGACATTAGCACATCGTTGTTCGGTTTTGTCAAGGTAGCATGGACGTTTCGTCTGTGGGAGTATATGTGTAGGCGGTGAGGAAGCTCGGTTGTTCGTTGTGGGTTCTGGATAAGGCTGGACACTCTGGATATGACCTCCTCCGTCGTTTTGGAGCTAGACGAAGCTGCTGCCTTCGATCGTGTGGTCTGGGACAGTGTTGCGAGTCGCGAAGGGCCAGCATTCTTGCTCTGACCTCCTAGTAACCGGTTCTCGAGTTCGCGGTCGTTTTTACTCTGCGTCTGCGTATCCTTGGAGGCTGTTCTGCATTGCGCTGTTGACGAGAAGGGCCGTCGCAGTAAAGAACGGCTGGAATAGCTCTGGGCTTCTCCGGAGAGAGCCAACGACCGCAAGGCCGTCAACAGTGGTATTCTTCCACTCATGGCTGATCAAGACGAGGTCCGGACGTTGCAAGAAAAGCCAGGAAGCCAGGTAGAAAAGGTCGTCCCGGCGGTCAATGGCTCCAAAGAAGCTATCTCAAGTAACTTTTCATAACAAACAAGCCGTCCAAGTGCCTTGTCAACTCAGTATCGCGTAGTGAAATGTTCAAACGTCGTCGTCCTCTCGTCCTTTTGCTGGCGCTTTTTCGATGTTTCTTTTCGAAGTTTTTTTCTCTGCTTCCTTTTGCCGGCGCTTGGCGCTTGTAAAACCCAAAAAGGCAAAAAAGAAAAAGAAGCTCCAAAATATTTTCTTCCTTGACTTTCTTTTATCCAGCTTTTCTCAACGCAGCAGAAGGCGAGCAGACACCACTGAGTCTCTACGACGACGTTGGGCTATTTGCACGGAGGGGATTTTCCATTCGGGTACTGCCAGGAAGGCTTTGCACGGTTAATTGTTGTGACGCTCTTTTTTCCCGCCTCGGAGTCAACGGAAAATTGAAAACACCCCAAAGACTTCACGACCTTGCGATCGAATAAAGCGCCCTTTCGCTCGCCATCTAGAGGAAGTATAGAGCATGATTGGAACAGGAGCACTCTCCCAGCCTGCCGCTGCGCGGTTAGTGCTGCGCGGATGCTCTCCTTTGACCTCTACAGCAGGCGCCCGAGGACATCTTGCTGGCCGCCGGATAATTACCCCAACCACTCTTCGACACTTCAGCTCCCCAAATACCATTCACACGACCTCTAGCCCGATTATCCCTTCGACCACTGGACTCTCTCACCTATCGAGACATGCGAGCGACCCTTTGTGGGTAATCCTTGCTACCAAAAGATCGTTCCACTCCGCACGCGCCCTCTTACAGCAGCAGCAACAAAAACAACAGAACCCTACGGATTCTTCTGCCGAGGGCTCTGCGAAGGACCAAACTTCGAAGGAAGAATCGAAGGAAGAACCGAAGAAAGAGGGAGAAGAGGAATCTGCCGATTCCAAGAAGGAGGATGGAAAGAAAAAGGAGGAGGCACCTCCACCCCCACCCCACGGTGACAAAACCCCATGGCAAGTCTTCACGGAGACTCTGCGATCCGAGTTCAAAGCCTCAAAGGAGTGGAATGAATCTACCAAGGCACTCGCTTCTTCCGCCCATCAGTTCACTGAGAGTGAGTCTGTAAGGAAGGCTAGATCCGCTTACGAAGCTGCTACCAGCACCGCGTCTTCTACGACTTCTTCGGCATTGAAAAAGACTGGAACCGTAATTGGCAAAGGTGCTGCCTGGACATGGGATACCACTGCTGTCAAGGGAATAAGGAGTGGTGTTGCGGCAACCGGAAGGGGAATTGAACAGGCCACACGACCTGTCAGAGAGACAAAAGTGTATAAAACTGCCGTGGGGAACATGAAGGAAGTCATAGATGATGGAAGCAGTTCTCGATATGGTGGATGGATCGAAAAGGAAGAGAGGCGGAAACGACGAGAGCAGCGAGAATTGAAGGAAGGCAATAAGAAGGTGGAGCGTATGGAAGAAGACCCAAAGTAAGCTCTATCCCTCTTCTTCATTATATCGGTGAATATGTGGAACTAATTATATTGCCCATCAGTGCCGGAACCAATGTCACACTTCATAAAGATGCAGCTTGGAAAGAATCGTGGCGCGAATTCAGGGATACTAGCCCCATGATGCAGCGTCTTTTCTCCTTGAAGAACACCTATGAGGAATCCGAGAACCCGCTTATAAGCACCGCCCGAAGCATATCGGATCGAGTAGCTGGTTTCTTCGCTGAGAACGAGACTGCAATGGTAATCAAGGCCTTCCGACAAATGGATCCAAATTTCCAGATCGAGCCATTCCTGCGCGAGATGAGAGAATATATTCTGCCAGAAGTTCTAGATGCCTACGTTAAGGGAGACGTTGAAACCCTCAAGCTATGGCTGTCTGATGCCCAGTTCCATGTCTACTCTGCCCTTACGAAACAATACAAGACTGCTGGCCTCAAGTCTGACGGCCGAATCCTTGATATCCGACATGTCGATATCTCTCATGCCCGTATGCTGGAGCCCGGTGATATCCCAGTTTTTATCATTACCTGCAGGAGTCAGGAGGTCCACGTCTATCGAAAGGAGAAAACTGGCGAACTCGCTGCCGGCATGGAAGACAGGGTACAACTCGTCACCTATGCCATCGGTGTCACTCGAATTCCAGATGAGGTCAACAACCCCGAGACTCGTGGCTGGAGATTAATTGAGCTGCAAAAGTCTGGCAGGGATTACATTTAAACATGTATACCTACTTACCCCTTTGTTCTTCTCATGGCATTCCTCAAACCCTGCCCGGAAACAACTTCATTAAAATCTACAGACGTCTGATATTACTGGTCTATACGAGTGCGATATTTCCCTTCGAGCATAGCATTTCTGTCACAACAACCCCAACCCCCCCCCCCCCCCCCCCTTCTCTCTAACCTGTCCCATTTCGCCACTGCTATTACCTCTTTCTTTTCTTCCCGATGTTTCAAAAATCTGGCTGTATACTACTTGGAGTCCAATAGATGTGCTGACGGTGGAATAACGTGTTTGAATATGCACGAGATCCATTTTCTGATGACCGCGAGCAAGTTCTTTTTCATCTTTTGTTTAAATACCTTGATTGGCTCGCATATCGCCCTATCTCTTCTCACATACTGTATATATATGTTTCAATTTCTTGGACCAGATTACGAATACCACATTATAATATGAACGACCTTCAGGGATAGTTTCGTATGACGAAAAGTAGCATTGACTGACATTAATCATAACGGCACCATCTAAACCTTCCACGTCCTGGGAACAACCAAAGAGAAACAACAATCTCCAAGCAGAATTACTTCTTTTATGGGCTTGGGCCCGTACCGCGGCCACCGCCTCTTCCTCCCATGAAATTCTTTGCCCTGGAAATGTATGTTAGTAGTTGAAAGCTCCATGAGGAAGTGATCAAGAAAGAAAGAAAGAAAAAACTTACATTTCGGCAATGCTGGGATCATTCATAAGGGCAGACATGTCAGGAAGGCCGCCTGAGCCTGATCCTCTGCCACGGCCGCCTCCAAAGTTCTCAGCCATCTGTCTTAGGGCCGGGTTGCTCATCAAGTTATTCAGCATATCAGGGTTGCTCATTATATTCTGGGCCATGTTAGCGAACATAGGGTTGTTCATGAGTGTACTGAAGTCAGGCATGCCGCCTCCACCTCCACCTCCAAGCATGCCTGCAAGAGAGGATAGATCTGGCATGCCGCCTGGAGCACCACGAGTGGCTCCAGCAGCGTCATCAACAGCTTCGGCCGGGGGTTCATTCTCAGTCTTTTCCATTTCAGCAATGCGCTTCTTAGCTGTCTCCAGGCCTCGCTTCATGGCATCACTGCCACCGTTGCCTTCAGCCTCGATACCATTCTGGTAAGCCTCTGCGGAGCCTTTGGCGTCTCCCAGAGCAAACCTAGCGAGTCCAAGTCGGCTCCAGGCCTTGACGTATTTGGGGTCAGCAGCGACGGCAACCTCAGCATCCTCAGCAGCTTTTGTATGGTCTCCAGAGGCGGAGTATGCAGCAGCACGATTGGATAGGTAGATAGGGTTAGCGGGCGCAATGTCTAGAGCGCGAGTATAACAGTCAATCGCAGCAGGGTAATCTTTGCGGGCCATAGCAGCATTTCCCTCAGACTTCAACTTATCGGACTCAGGAGTTGGAGCGCCAGCTGGCTGAGAAGGGGTTTTGCTAGGCTCTTTTTGTTCCTCACTAGGGGTGGCTGCGGGAGCGGTACTCCTGGTGCCTTTCACCTTTTGGTAGACACTGAAGATGTTCACCAGAGACTGTCCGCCCAAGGCGTCTTTCATGGCAGCCTCATCGGATGGGTCAACACCAAACGTGTCCCCAAGGCATGAGGTAGCGATCTCTATCGATTCTGAATGCTCTGCGGTAAGCGTTCCGTCCTTAAGACTGGTGTTGAGGAAGTCTATTATGGCCAACACCAGCTGTTTCTGCGAGTCTGAAGGAGCCTAAAGACCAAGGTTAGTTTTATGCGACCACTTCTAACTAGGAGGATAGCAACAATACCATTGTGAAGAGGTGATAATGCCCTGCTCTTCTTTTCTGCCTGTTGGAGGTGGGATGTTTTTACTTAGTTGGCCTGCAGGTCCATGTTTGTTCCAGGCGTTTCTTTTTCCCTCGAGAGCTCCGTCAGAGGGTCACATGACCCAAGCCTCGGCCGCGACTCCAACGTCAAGGGAAGAGACACAACGGCGAGAGTAACTGGCCACGAAATCTTATCGACATCTACCGTATTTGCACGACCCGGCTGAGATGCGGTATGGGGGGCGCTGAGCCAAAAATGAGCCAATGCTTCACATGAGCTCCTGGTAGTCAGCCATAGCAATGTACTGGCCAAATGGAGTGCCCCGAGTCTATGCAGTCAACGGCCCGGAGATACAGAAACAGCAAAAGAGACAGCAGCAGCAAGAGGAGGAGGAGGAGACCGAGCAGGATGATAACAGGACAGAAACTACTGCTGAGTCTGCGGACGAGAGGGAGCAGAGCAATGGATTGCTACAGCACGAGCACCAAGAGATAGCTGTCCAACATGCAGGAGACGCGGACGATGCTTGGGCGGATGAACCCATTGCTGGACTTTGTGTGTCGAAGAGCGGAGCTTTATTTGCAACGATGACCAGGTCATCTTTGGCCATTTGGCAGACAAAGGTATGTCTCTCACTGAAAGATATTTATGGTATTTATGCTAACTCGTCTGATATAGCCTACTGCCGTCGTTGCGGCAATCAAGCGGTCTCATGTGTCTATCACGAACTATGGCCCAAATGTAGCTCTCCTGCTTCGACCAGACTCCGGTATCATCGTTGTACAGACGCTGGAGGGCTACTTGATAACGTATTCGATTGCGACTGATGCGCATTCCCACGTATATCAACAGTTATTCTTGCAGTCACATTCAAGACGGAACCTTCCCTCCAACGACTCCCACGCAATCCGCGAAGTAAGCCTACGGTTTAGGGTAGCCATCAAAGTTGATGCCGGGATTAGCAAAGCTGTCGCGTTAGACAACGAGCTAATGGTTGCTACAACGAAACCTGCTGCTATACAATTAATACGGTGGACTCCGGACAGTAGCGGTAATCAAACCAGCACGGAGCTCCTAAGCCGCATCCCGTGGCTCTCAAAAAAGTCACTTGTTGTCGAAATGGTCTATGACCGTGCTATGAATCTTCTGTTATGGGTAACAAGTGATGGTCGGGTCTACGCAGTACAATACAGTTACCGGGAGGCAGATGAGTCCGGCTCATCCAAGGTCAACTTCACCGGACACAGATTCCACAATCCAGAAAATGATGGACAACGGGCCCTCCAGGTTGCTGTAAATGCAAGATTCTCCCTTTTCGCTGTTAGCTGCGTTAACGGTGAGATATGCGTTTATGCAGCAAGGGATTACTCTGGCAATATTCCGCTATCCCACAAATTACAGATGCCGGCATCTGCAACTACAATGGGAAAAATATCTTTTATGACCTACTCATATGATGGATACTGTCTTTTTGCAGGTTATGAAAACGGATGGACAACATGGAGTGTATTTGGAAAGCCAGGTGGCACCAGCTTCACAGCAGACAAGTCGCTTGCTGAAAGCAATGGAGAGACCTGGCTAACAGGGGTTTCCATGGGTGCATGGATTGGCGGTGGCTCCGACATTCTGCTGGCCTCCTCCAAGGACAAGCGAATATGGTTATTAGAAGTTGCGCGCAGTTCCCTAACCGGTTGTTTTTCTTCTGCGAACCTTGCACGAGCACTCCTTCAAACAGGAACCGAAATCATTCTATATCGTGGCCATGATCTTCCCGACTTAACAACTATATCAGGCAAGGACTCACTTTGGCACCATGCTCAATACCCTCCTGGATATCTCCACGCTCAATGGCCTATTCGGACATGCTGTGTCTCACAAGATGGTAGATATGTTGCCGTGGCAGGCCGGCGCGGCCTGGCTCATTATAGCGTTCACAGTAATAGATGGAAGACTTTCGATGACCCAAAAGTTGAAAATTCTTTCGCTATCCAAGGAGGGATGTGCTGGTATGGGCATATCCTCATCGTCGCCGTCGAGGGTGATTCTTCATACGAGGTATACAGTCCACACTAGCCCCTTTACCAATCTCAAAACTAACTAGACATAGTTGCGGATGTACTCTCGCGAGTTGCCCCTGAATAATTCATCAATACTCTATTCAGAACCTCTTCCAGCACCAGCAGTGTTCATTGGACCGTCGGGAGAGGACTCTCTCTTGGTTTACACGTACGATAATATATTATATCACTATGTTATAAACGCTGTTGGGACGAGAATTAGTCTCGTTCAAGTGGGTCAGATAACTTTTAATGGGATTGTGAGAGCACCAGCTCGTGTTCGCGCTATCAGCTGGATCCTACCTGAAGACCAACTTCGTACGTCATCACCTTATTCAGTTTCTATATACAAAATTTTGTCTAATATATCTGTTTAGGCGACGGTGACCCATCTCAGGACGTTGCTGTAGCATCGGTTCTATTCCTTGTTGATGGGAAATTGGTTTTGCTGCAACCATCAGTGTCCCCCAATGGGGCATTGAAATACGATATGCGTGTTGTTGCTCATGATGTCGAATATTATATCCTTATGCGCGATCAACTATCGTTCAATATTGCACCTCCAAACGACGAGCCCTCTTCTGGCGGACAAACCCCAGAGATCACAGTTAACAATTCCCCTTCGGATATCTCACTCCGGGATTCTTTATGGGTCTTTGGTGGGAAGGATCTGTTTGTCTGGAGTGATATGCAGGATGTACTTCGCCCAACTGGCCGATCAGTGGAAGGACCGAAGAACTTGCCTATCCCTACGGACTTTTATCCTATTTCTATACTGCTGAACAAAGGCATAGTTCTCGGTATTGAACCAGAAATTACTCAAAGACGTGATGTTACGTTCACCTTACAGAGGTTTGCCATCAGAGTAGGTTCTTACTCGAATCATTAGTACCAGCTACTGTATACTGACATGTATAGACCCAACTTTTCCTCCCATACGTCCTGCAGCACAACTTATCCTATTTTGACACACCGTCAGCCCTCTCAATTTGTCACCATTTCTCACATCTGTCTTACTTCCCCCACGCCCTGGAAATTCTATTGCATCACGTCTTGGACGAGGCTGTAGATGACCATAGCATTGGAAACGCCATTGAGACCCCTGTGAAGGGGAAGCAATTACTACCCGGTGTGTTGGCATTTCTCCAGGCTGCCAACCCTCCTGAATTATACCTTGATATTCTTGTTCAGTGTATCCGAAAAACGGAGTTACGATCCTGGAGAACTCTTTTCGCTTATCTTCCTCCCCCCAATGAGTTATTTGAACAAGCACTCAAGTTTAATTCGCTGAAAACGGCTGGAGGTTACCTTCTTGTCTTGCAGGCTTTTGATGATATCGATGACGAAGATAGTGGAGATGGTTTTGACAAGATTGAAGACTCTGCTGTTCGTCTCTTGCGGCTGGCATCACAACGGGGAGACTGGGAGCTGTGCGGTGAGATTGCACAATTCCTCATTGCATTAGATGGTTCCGGCAAGGTTTTGAAACGCGCGGTTGTGAGAGTAGGCTTGAGAAGAGAAGGTCCTGGCAGCCCGGTTGATGTTGACGATGGACCCATTCCCCGTTTTGGAATGCTAGACATCAGCCCGTAATTTTGACATAGAATCGCTCCTTGCAGAGCGCAAAAACTGGGAGTCAACTTTACACACAAATTTGGACCGCTTTGACGTTGTGGACTGCCCTCCACCTGGCAGCTTTCCCATAAACACCCTCGTTTCTACCGAGATGAATCGAGGGGAATACCCGGTCCTTTTATGGAATCTAAACAAATGTATATAATAAAATTGATGAAGCTTATATAGCTTGAAGTAGGACCTAGACCTGCCTAACGAAAATGCACCCAGACCGGCAACCAAACATTTACCAATAAAGGGGAAGAGTCACATATCCAACCACCTTCCGGTTGTAGAATCACAAATATTAATCAAAGTTTAGCTTCCAAAGCCCGTCGCCCAAATAATGACCTTCATCCATGACAACGCCCTTCCCCTTCTTCTTAATATCCTCGGTTCCCACCTTCAGCTCACCAACCATGCATATTTCTTCCTTTCCTTCCGCCCTGATGGCTACTATTGTGCCGGCTTCTAGTGCATGCTCTGCGTCAGGCAAACTGCCGCCAGCAGATGTGAGACCAGGAGCCATTAATGTAGCTCCTGATAGGACGAATCTGATTGCCCCTCTGTCTATTCCAACTGTAGGCATGGCGTTGGGAAAGGCGTGGAGTACTCGTAGATGGGGGATTAAAGGACTGTCCATGGACTGGAAGAAAATAGGCTTGGAGTCTGCGATGTATAGGGTTACTCGGTCCGGCCTGTAAGATCCAAGATGATCAGTCATGCTGTGTGCGGTATAAGTGTGGTAGGAGATATATAGCGTACAGCTTCATGGCTTCTAAAGAAGCCTTCTTTGGTAGAACTTCATCGATATATGGCTCGAAACCTGGATGAGTCTCGAGGAATTTCGCCCGTAAAGATCTTTGCACTGATGACTTGACTTTTGACCGTGCTCCCGCAGTTATACTAAGTCAATCGTCTTGTTAGTTATTCAACGACTTCAAATTGATATAGGACATAAATTGACCCCGCGCATCTTCAACGCCGCGGGGTAGCTATAGTTGATGACGGTGCTGGAGGACGCTCTTTCTTCATCAGTGCTCTGAATTTGCATAAGGCTACATACTCTTTTTTAAACATCGTTATTGTGTGCAGCAGAATTTGTATATATCAAATATATGTGAGAATTATAATGAAAGCTTTGGCTGTTGTGAATCCGCTTGCTGATAGACTTGGTCACATGATGCAACCTCGCGATGTTAGTGTTTACGCCGTAGGTGCTCAATATACTGGAAAGGATAGAATTTACATATTAAACAAGAGGCTCGCAGTATTATTATTTTAGCACATTGATTCCCTCGACTAGTATTTTTTTTATTAATATTACAGTCTGCAGCACTTAGATTTCTAAGGCTGGGGAAGGCTAAGTACGCAATTCATATGGCACAACTATGCCTTGGCCGCACCGGCTTTGATCAGGACGATATCTCCATCCTCGATAACATAATCTTTGCCCTTGGTGAGGACCTTACCGGCTGCTCTTACGGCAGCTTCATCACCGCACTCTTTTAGTACATCAAAGTTAAAAACAAGACACTGGATAAAGGTCTTTTCAAAATCTATGGGGAAATATTGTTAGATATCGGTCAAGTCAAGGGAGGGCAATATAATATTAACATACCTGTGTGAATAACACCAGCGGCCTGTGGAGCCTTGGTGCCCTTGCGGATAGTCCACTGACGAACCTCATCCGCACCAGTAGTGAAAAAGCTGCCCAGGTTAAGACTCTGGCGCATGGTGACAATAATCTTTGGCAGGGCAGACTTAGTGCCTAGCTTCTCACATTCTTCAGCAGCAGCAGCATCATCTCCGAGCTGCGCTAGACGCTCCTCGAAAGAGACTGAGAGAGGAATAATGGGGTCACCAGGGGAGTTAGTTTTAATCCATTCGGCAACCTTTGGAATATATTTATTCCTCTGGCGGATATAATCCTTTTCGCTAAGGTTGACTAGGTAAACCACAGGTTTAGCAGTCAACAAAAAGAGTGGATTAATCACATCGACCTACAAGACAACTAGTCAGACCTTGCAATAACATAGTATATGATAGCAAAGCAGCAAATTGAGTGGATAGGTATCAACAATCAGCTTTGGATTTTATCTCACGAGGGCCTTTTGACCTTTCGACGAGCTGGGTTAAATGTCGAGCGTTATAGCTCTTATTCATCATATGATACCATATTCATGTGCAGCTGGGTGGCAAGGGAAAAGGGAGAGAGAATTCTTACCTCTTTAGGACCCCAGTCACCTTTTCTAATATCATTACCTTCTTTAAGGAAAGCAAGGACTCTGGCGACAATCTCTTCTTCCTCTTTGAGTTTCTTCATCTCAAGGGACTGGCCGCCTCGTCTGGTCTGCTTGGACAAACCTTCAAGCGCCTTCTCGACGAACTCAATATCTTTGATACGAAGCTCCTCGCTGATGATGTTTAGATCACGAACAGGGTCGACATCACCCTCCACGTGCACGATCTCAGCATCATCAAAGCAACGTACAACCTGGAAGATGGCATCTACGGCACGGATATGAGATAAAAATGCATTTCCAAGACCAGCTCCTGTGGACGCTCCTTTGGTAAGGCCAGCAATATCATATACTGTCAAGTTAGCCGGGACCTCTGACTTGGGCTTGTAGTGCTTGCACAGCCAGTCATATCGTTCATCCGGAACAATAACTCGAGCCTGCTCAGGATCAATTGTGGCATAGGGGAAATTGGCAGGGTTTCCGAGTGTAGATTTGGTGATGGCTTGGAAAAGAGTAGATTTTCCAACATTAGCCAGACCAACCTATGCGTCAACAGACTCGTTAGCCACCCGAAACAGCTGAATCAGAACAGGAGAAGCGAAATTGAGAACGACAGAACAGACCATAAGAAGGGTTCGCACATACTATACCGCTCTTCAGACTGTTGCCCGGCCGTCCAAGGAGGACCTTCTCCCGCTTGACAGGCTTCTTGGGCGCCATTTTCTTCTTCCTGCTTGCGAAGCCTCGAGAGCTCACTAGCGAGGGAGAAGTTCTGAAGAGAAGAAGCGTGAAGGAGCCAAAAGCAGGACCAGCTGCGAGTTGTGTCAAGGGGCGAGTGGGGGAGGAAGAGAAGAGCACCAGGGAGCGGGAGGGGGAGAAGAGAGGCTGCATAAATTTTGATGATGTTTTTATATTTGTCACTCTTCGCTGGTTTTTCTCTCTCTTTCTGTTTGGCCGGAAAAAAAGTTTCGCGTTTTGCCCTAGAGAAGGAAAATTGTTATTCCGGCGGAGGTCAACGGGCCGGCTTAGTAAGAACTTTAAGATAACAATCCATCCATATTACTTACAAGCACCTTTTAATGCGGGTATAAAAGAACGAGAGCAAAGAATAATGATAAAGAACAAGAAGGGGACAAGAAGTGCCAATCTAAGACGATAGAGTACAGAGTGTTAAAATAAGAGAGCTATCCGCCGTCCCAGTTGAATGTATTCCCAACCCTGAACTCCAAGCGGTTAGACATGAAATAAAAGAAACACTTAAACGTCCATGGTATCGTTGTCATCCTGACTCTCGTCGAGTATACCCAGAAGCTGAGCATACGGCACAGTCACCCGCTGCAGATCGCGATGTTTGCCTGTATAACAGGTTAGTATTTGTAAAAAAGAGTACTGAAGTGTTTGAGTAACATACCAAATGCTAGAATCACGTCCTTGAGGAGGGTTCGACGGGGCCATCCACACAATGTTTCGGACTCGTTCACCCAGGACCGTTGCTCTGGCTGTCCTGGCTGACGGTTCTGCTTCGCTTTCTCATCCTCAATTACCTGGTCTTCGAAGACACCACCGAGGATATCTTCTAATAGCTCTTCAGCCTTGAGTTTAGCTCCCTCTGCACCCAGTCGTTTGGCATACATAGAAAGGTACATGCGGAATTCCTCTTTGGCAGCAAGAGACAGGGTAGCAGCAACTCTGTTCTCCAGGTGAGCTATAGAGGCAGATGCTTCGAAGCCCTCGAATCCTTCGCGAGATAAAAGAACTTTGATGAGGCGTTGTAGGAAGTGTCCACGTCCTCGGGCAAGGACTTCCTGGGTGGTGTTTCGTTCTAGGAACGGAACTATGCCCGCAGATACAGGGGCTACGGACTCTCCTTCTGCCTGACCGCGGACCTGGACGTTGCCTACCGGTGCCTCGGTGGAGTTCCAGTACTGACTTGCCACAGCCCACCAAGGCTCGGATAGCCGTTGCCAGGTATACAGTGATGGAGAGTAGCTGTATCCGTCTCCCGTTGACAAACCAACGATTATTCGACCTTCAGAACTGATTCTTGATGCGACTATGGATGGAACGGCGGTCGCATGACCTGTCATGGTATGTAGTGCTGCGTCCAGTACTGGCTGGAGTGAAACGGGAGGATGGGGTGATGAAAGAGTGCCGACATTCCATACATAGCACATCCCTACAGCAGTGATGCAGAGTACCCATGACTCCATACACTCTAACACAACCGCCTGTGATTCGAGCACCAGGGCATTGACGAGACGCCTGCCGGCTGGCGTCCATATATATATGGAGCCATCTTCAGACGCTGCTGCCCAGAGCTTCTTGTTGCCAGTAACAAGTATCACAGCCTTGGGGAGATAATCCTGCCACAATGGCTGATCACCGCGATTAAGACTGATTCGTACCGGCTCCTTATCAACACTGCGCCCAGTCACACTTGCCTGGGATGGATTTCGCGCTTCAAAGACAATATCCACTCTGGCCTTTGAGCTGTCTGATACATCCTTCGGGTTCCCAAGGGTGTCTATACCTTGCAGGATATGACTTCGTATCTTTGGAACTGCGAGACGTAGTTGACTGATGGCCATGCAAGGATTAACCACTGCGGGTCTGATGAAACTGGGCGTTTCTTGTGGTCCACTGGGAGTGGGAACTGCAGGGACAAGTCCATCCGGAGTGTTTGAGAGAATAGGTATAACGCCATTATCTCTTGCAGTTGCTACTCTTTTCTCGGCTGAGTTTTCTTCGTCATCTTCTAGTTGAGAAAACTTTCGCCTATTGCCAAATAGCAATGCTGTCAACCCTCCCTTCGGTAGACCATCGAACGGCTTGGACAAGTCAAGTACTGACTGTGGTCCCTCCGATGTCCCCTGGGTGTTCATTGACGCGGCAACTAGCTTGGTCTGTGGAAGAGAAGATTGAGATCCCACTGCCCCAGAAACCAATAGTGGTGCAATTCGTTTCTTCCCATCTTTAGTATATGTTGGCCTTTGTTTCAACCTGTCCAACTTCACAGCATATGGGTCCTGCTTTGCTTGGGCTGGCTCAGTTCCATTGGTAGTCCCAGTTTTGTTTGATTTATCAGCTTGGGCATTTTTCGGCGCAGAGGTTACGGCCACGGCAGCATCCGCATCTCCGCTAACCGTACCGTCAGTATCAGCTTGACCATCCCCCATTAACGCACCCATTCTGCCCTTTACTCCACGTAGTTCTCCAGCTTTGCTTTTCTCTTCAAGAAGCAAGCCGTCGGTAGACTCGACCATTCCCGCACCTCTTCGATTTGTTCCAAATTTTGACAGTGACTTTTCGTTCTCTTCAATGGGCATTGGATGGCCTAGTTCTGCGGTCTCAAATCGGACAGCAATGATAGCTCCATCAAGGGCGGTGGCAAACAAATTATTTCCATCAGGGCTCCATGCCAAATCGGATATTGCCTTGACTGATATGTCCTGCGCTATTACGATGGGCCGTGGGTTGCTGGTGATCCATATGCTCAGCGATTTATCTCCTCCAGCACATGCAATAACGGTGACCGCGTTGTGGACTGGATTTCCATGGCTATCCAGCATGGGCTTCTGAATCGGCTGGGGTGAGTAGAGCCGGGGTGCGAAGGCGCAGACTTCAACTGGAGCTTCATGGCCGATCAAGTTGATGTCACTTTCCCACGAACCTCGGTTTATGATTGCTACAGCGTTGACTGGGCCATTGACGGCGTTTGCAGCAGCTATATGGTTGCCATCGGGAGACCAGGAGCACCTTCGGAAATATGTGGTGAGAGGGGAATTCACAAACGGACTTTTAACTGTCCTTTCATGCACAAAATTATGCGTCTGGTCGTGGGCAGTAGAATTGGGTGCGGGGGAATTGAAGCGGAAGATGCGAACGGTACGGTCATCACTGGCTGTAGCAAAGTATTTATTTGCGGGGTCGAAGGTGATTCCTTTGACGTGGCTCTGATGGTTGAGTAGCGTCTTTAGCTTCTCAAAAGTATGGCCTGACCATACTACGACTTTAGAATCCAGTCCTACTGAGACTAGAATAGAAGAGTCATAGGACCACCCTAAGTCTTGGATATCATTATCATGGCCGATTAAGCGGCGAATAGTACGCCAGTTTTCCACAGGAGCGGGTTCATTAGATCCTATACCAGGACAAACAAATTAGTCTTAGAACTTTTGGGGTTGAAAAACGGGTTTGTCCGTACCGAAAGTCGCATGGGCGGTCGCATTCGCTTCTTGAGTGTACACACAAACAATCTTATCGTCCGCCCCAGAGGCTAAGTATTTCCCATTCGGCGAGAAGCGAACCGTGTGAATTGTTCCGGAATGATTGCTCATAGAAGCCAGCTGCTTGGGCTTGTCATCGTATGCCGGATCACCCGCATTGTATATCGCCTCTGTAGACCATATTCGAACGTATCCATCTATTCATCGCGCGCATACCCCGTTAGCCAAGTCCTGCATAAAAACGGGAGCAAAAAACCCGCGGATTCCGGAAAATTTTCAAATGCCCAAGGCGGGACGGGACCACATTATGCAATGGTGGTAATGGAGGTTGGTGTAGTGGCAGCTCACCTCCGGCGGCAGTAACCAGTCTCTTCCCGTCCGGTGAAACGTCACAGCTGTATACTTCGAAATCTTTCCGTTCACCTATTTAAGCGTATCTCCAGCAAGCGTGGAGAGAAATAGTCAGTAAAAGTTTGATTTCTGATAATGCCGAGTTTTTGATAAGGATGGAGGTGAGTCCAGACCTCCATGCGTGAGCCAAACAGGCTTTATGATACGCATTTCAATTATTGGCCGTGTATTTGCCCTTGTCTTGGTCCTGGTAGATTCAGGCCTCGCGAACCCGTGGGCAGAAGCAGATACGGATTGCTGTTTGGAGGGAGTTCGAGTGTTTGGGTTTTAGGTCAACTTGTTATCGCGTGAGAAGCGCGAGCATAGCTCCAAGCTGGAGAAGCTTCACCGGGGCAGTTAAGCGAACGGGGCAGCCTCGCATTACCTGCGCGAGGCAAAGCAGGTAACAGATAAGACGAACCAGCTTCTGAAAGACGAGTCCGGGGGATTGTCAGATAGGCCAAGGAGCGAATGTAGTCGAGTTGCAGTTGGTTATCACAATCGATATCTAATTATTCTTCTTTGGGAGTTTCGAACGTTGGCTTACTTCATGTGACGAGGGGGCTTAGGTCAGCAGGCAGCGAGTGAGCATCGTTTACGGTTCAGGGGTAACGGCGGAGAAGATAACAAGAGAGATGGTTATGTGCATTTATTCGTGGAATCTATCTAGTTGCCATGATATTAAACATTATAAAATCTATCAAAGGTGGTATCAATACTGAAGAAGCGAAATCAAACTTGGCAAAGAGTAAACACCCGTCCTTACGACTTCTCATGGAGAAGGCAAAGATGAAGTAGAAGAGAAGAGGAATTCATGAAACAGGCTTCAGGCTGGAAGACTGTATTATAGCAGATGATCCGGCTACCTTAGCCTCCTTGGCCTTCATTTCTTCGATCTCAGACTCTTCGGCTTCGGATCTCTCGTCCTTTGCGATGTTGTGCACGACGAAGCGGTAGGCAATGCGCACAAGCAAGAAGAGCCAGAAGAGGTTGAGAGCCTGGAGAGAAACCAACAGGAACAGGAAGAAGAGCTTGGTGTAGAGACACTTGAACTGGCCTGCTTCCCAGTCAAGCTCGGTGGGGCCAACGGTATCAAACTCGTTGAAAAGAGAGAAGATGATGCGTAGATTCAAGTAGTTGCGCATGTAGATCCAGGTAGCGATAGTGGCACCGACGAATGGCCCTACCAGAGGGCTGTCGATGTAGTTGAGTGACTTGGATGACTATACGGGTATCCGTGTTAAAAGGGCCGTGTTGTTCGTTGAAAAAAAGGAAATGACATTAGACAAATTTTGAACTTACAGCAAGGAAGAAATCACTGATGTCGTGGGTTATGTAGACCGCAATTCCGACATAAGTGAAATGAAAACGGTAGCTTAGGGAGATAAGAACTAGAGTAACGATGTGATGCGTTACGAGCTCCCTAAAGTCCTTTCGTCTCTTCTCCATCCCGAGCAGCATGACTACGGCCTGCTGCGCCCAATAGGCCGCCTGGAACAAGTAGTAGAACTTGAAGCCAGCGTCGAGCGTCAGATGAGGGGCAGCCTCATACATTCCACGGGTATTGAAGTACCAGACAGGCGAGGTGCTCATCACATAGAGTCCTGCCGGCCCCATTATGCCAAAGTAGAGGGCAGTATAGGTCTGTTCCATGAATCGGAGCCGCTTACCCCGCGATTTCAGGCCGCAGAAGATAGCCAAGGGCCGTAGTAACTCTTGCATGACAAACTCTCGAGCAACAGAGAGGACGATGGTATAAAAGGTAACGAGTGCGATGTCCCACGGACCCTTGGCATATTGTACAGGTTTCGTGGGGTCAGACCGCTGCTGTTTGTATGAGAGGAATATAAAACGGTGAAAGACATTAGATTCAGTGGGATTAACGCCGTACAAGAAGAGAATGGCGAGCAGAGGAACGAGCGGGACAGTCCATGTATGCCGGACCACAAGGTGCTTGCAGCGATGCAGCAAAGAAGGCGTCCTCCTGAGCCTGCATAGCTTCCTCTCCTCGATGGTCTGCAGTATATGGCTGCTAGAAGGACTGGTGAGCGTCCGGCGTCTGCGAGTGATGCCCTTCCCGTTCGTCACTGAAGATATCCGGTTGGTAGGAATGTGGAAGAGCGTAGTTGACGTAGGAGAAGTCATCATTATTGCTTCCCACGACGGTCCTCTTGGGGCCAGGATAACAGCCGCCGCCGATGACGTTGGATCGGAGAATTCCCACCAGGTTCACGGCTGGATGTACGGAGTAACAGGGGGCGCGCAGTCGCGGTTATGCACCTTGGGCGTAGGGGAAGTCTGTCGGGCGTTCGGTGTAAGGGATGCAGCGCACGGAGTTGGTCAAAACGAATGTCAACGCCTGGACGAGACAAGGCGAGGCGGCGAAAAAAAAAAAAAAAAGAGCGAGCGGACGGGTCTCGAGGGATGGAGATGAAGAGTTTTACCCTGTTTTGACGGGCAGAAATGAATGTCGCGGAATGCAATTCCAGCGGTCGACAGGAAGTATAGCCTCGTTCAGGGGTAAATAAATAAATAGACCTCCCGCCAGTCAGATAAAAGCGCGGGAGCCCCTTTTTCTTGGTGTCGCTCTTTTTTTCAGGCCCCTGCACCGACGGCTCGGGCGGGAGAAGACGAGCAAAAACGAGGGGGAGGTCAGCGGCCAGCGCTGACGGGCCGGGAGATGATGGCATGAACCTCCCTTCTTCTTCCTTTTCTTCTCTTCATCTTCTCTTCTTCTATCTTTCTTCTATTTTTCTTCTTCTTTTCTGGTGGTTTTTTTTTTTTTTTTCGGCGTGAGTCACGTGAAATCCAGACTTTCTCGGCTCTTTTTTTTTGATATCAAAAAAGAAGCAGAAGAAGCGAAGATGAAGAAGAAGAAGAAAGACAAGATAGAGAAGAAAAGAGAAGATTGAGGAGATGTCGATGATGATGTGCAGAGCTGCAGTAACGGTGCCTGTCGGGTCGGAGTCTGTCTGTGGAACTGTCTCCAGTCGGCTTCTCCAGGCAGTCGACCGGCACGCTGGCTAGCCACTCCGTACTCCGTACAGCCATCAGCCATCGCATCGCATCGCATCGGCCGTTCCCCAGCAGGCCGTTTGATGAGCCGGCGGCCAGGCTAGAGCAGCGTCTTCCGCGATCCAGCAGCTTCCAACGGCTTCTTCTTAAACGCCTGGCTTCAGCTGCTCATCCTCGAGCGGCGCCAGGGTCGACACCGCCGGCCGTGGGGCTTGCTGGGCTCCGCGGCGCCTCTCGGCGAAAAGTCGGCATTCACGTTCTCCTTCGGCCGTTTCGACAGCAACTAAAGTACCTAGGCCTAAGAGGAGCCAGTCAGTAAGAGTGAGGACAAGGCAGAGTTTTCGCTCTTGTTGTTGTCGTTGTATTCGCCTGCTGCTTGCTCTGTTTTAAATAAAAAAAAAGACGCTCAGTTCAAGAGCAACAACACGCAGATAGCACAGCTGACTCTCCTCAGGACACTCGCCTATTATGACCAGCGCCCGTTTCCTGGACAGTGATACCTGCGCTTTCCACCATAGACCATAGAGCCCCGATCGTCTCGTCTCTCCTCCAGCCTTCACACAGCATCTGATAATCATAGCGAGAGCCCCTGCATCAAAAAAGTAAGTAGTCTGCTCCATCGGGAGACCGCTCTGATATGGCTGACCGGCCAGCAGGAAAAACGTCCACTGAGCTAGCTAGCCACCATGATTTTCACCCGCGGCATCAGCTTGACCAACTTCTTCGTCGCCTCCTCCGCCCTGTGCTTCCAGGTGTTCGTCCTATACCCCTGGCACAAACAGCTCGACGAGGCCTTCGAGGACCTGAAAAAGGAACATCTGCGGGTTCTGAACACCGAGGCGTCCCGCATCGATGAGCTGAAGAAGCTCCAGAACCAGCTCGTTGATCTCCAGGAGAAGAGAAAGAAGTGGTGGGCTTGAAATATGATACGACGCATGCATAGCCACGGAGCATGGGAGAGACATACACACACAAACACACACACTGGGCACTTTGATTCTGTCTTTTGGCGGGTGCTTTTAATTCACTTATGGCCTGGTCTATAGATGGTCTGGGTCGGATAGAGGTCAGCTTTTTAGTCCACATATAGACTCGATGCAAATACAATCCACGTTCTATCACGTCTAGATGACCTGATCTGCCCACCTTGCAAGACCTAGGCGTAGGTACCGTGTAGGACAAAAGATGCACAAAGTACGGAGTAAGCATCTCCTAGTGTAGCTTTCCGACGGTAAAATCTAGACTCCTTGTCTGCTATATGCACTGAAAGTAACTAGTTAGCTCGGCAAAGAGACACCTCGTACGGAGTAATAATAATATAGCCACGGCTGCTTGATATCAGTCGGCTTTCGCGCCGGCGGCAGACAAGCATCCGCCAACCGAAGCTTGTTACACCGAGGCTGCCCCCTGGGGTATGTTTGCATCCCGCAGCCCCTGTCGATGACTGCCGGGTTTAGACACTAGGCAAAAACAAACGTCGACTTCAACACATACGGGGGCAGACCATGCCAGATGTCATCCCTAGCCGCGTTTGAAGCCTGCTTGCGTGGAATAGGTTACCATCAGGTCTTCTAAGCTAACTGCGGGAGCCTACTGAGATTTAGCAAAGCTTTGCCAACCAATTGCCTAGTTAGTAGTTTACGTAGCTTAGATTAACTAGTTATGTGCCTCAAAAACACTTCGTTCGCATTAAAATTCGATATCTCGAAAGAGCCTAGAAGATGCAGACCAAACCCAATCCTGCCGCCATCCTACCGCCAGAACAATGCACACTAAAACACAAAAGATGAAAGAGTTAAAAAATCTAGGTCATGTCAGCCTCAGTTCCGACTCTGATGTTGCGTCCGCGGACCGAATGCTTGAAGGTTTCGATACATTGTTGGCTTCATACGTTATGTATTTGGACACCATCACCCCTTTCTTATCCAGGTCTACAAACTCGATGCCGTGTGGTGTTGCGGACGCGACGGTCGTTGTCGTATGGTAGCTGTTGAGAATTCCGCCGTTGCCGTCACTAACATAACCGTTGTCTCCTCGCCGTCCGCGAGACCGGGAGTTGGAGTATCCAGAAGAAGGGCCGCCTCGTTGGGAGGACCATGTGCCCAGGACTGCGGGGAGGTAGCGGGCGAAGAATGGCTTGAGAGAGGCCAACGAAGCAGCAATCTAGTTGGATGTCGTTGTCAGCTATACGGTATTCACAATTCTAGCCAGAGGGGATTTGGAACATACAACGCCGAGGTACAGCTCGATGGTGCCTGAGATCCAGACGGGGTAGGAATCCCAGGTTTTGTCATACGAGACGTTATATGCGTGAACATAGTAGGTTTTGAAGCTGCCTGCAATGCAGACTGCGAAACCGGCGCCGAAAAGGAGGGCTAAGACAATACGCTGTCTGTACGGCAGCTTGAGGCCCATGACAGTCGGTATCGGCAAGATAACAACCAAGAGATCCGTGAAAATGTTAATGATTGTACCGATCAGGAGATGTGCTGTTTCATTGATGCATTCCTGGGGGTGCAGGCTTAGAGTCCAGTAGGCTGATATTGGGCTACATCCGACTCAAGTTAGCTGCTGGCTGTTTTTTGTTTCCATCTATACAGGTGTATGTATAGATCAATGAGAGTGTAGATCAGGGCAAACCATACCGGCAGGTGAAAATAACCACAATGCAAAAGATGACCATTTCAGCAGCAACGACGGCAATGGTAATCCAAACGAGCCACTTCAAGATCTTTGAATTTATCCCGAAAATCATTTTCCGCGTAAAGAAGAGGAGGGATAGCTTCGTGAGAGCGCAGCTGACGCCAAACAGACACTCCAATGCCATAGTGAGCTTCAGGCCCAGGACAAGCTGGTCGAACGGTACATCGTAGACATGCCGACTCCATCCATACTTGATCGTGCCCAGGACGGTAATTACACCACAGGCAATGGCCGGAACTGCAGCAGCAACTATGAGTATGTCATCGGTACCAAAACTTTTTGATATTCGAATACGAGTGAACAAGCGGGCAGCAACGACAGCGGCAGTCAACGGAGCGAATATGGCGGTCAATATAATCAACCCAGGCCCTCGGAGTTCTTTTGGATGCTCATAGTTCGGCCGTGGCCAGGACAAAAGCACTTTCTTTGGAGGGATCTGCATGGTGACCGATGGCAGCTGGGCGTGGACGACAATGCCACAGCCACATAATCGTTCGGTATGGTAGTTGAAGAAGTGAACGCCGACAACAGTTCATGATCACATCCTGGCTATGGTCAAGTATATGAACGAGGAGAGCAAAACAAAAACAGGGAGGCTCTTTTAACGGTGGAGACCCATACGGTCGATCGGGAAGCGCGTCGTCACTAATAAGGTCCCACCGGTCCTGTCAGTTACCAAGATTTCCAGAACTCTAGTCTCGTGGCCTGATGAGGTTTAACGGAACCGCAGGCGAAAATCTTGAGAACGGACGAGAGGGCCATATGGGGCATCAATTGTTCCTGGACGATCAGGCGTGATCGGCATTCTTATACATCCCGTCGAGATATTCTCGCCCGGATAGCGATTACCATGGGGGGGTTGTTTTTTTTTTTCCTTTCTATCTCGCCATTCCGTAGTCAACAAGACAGGGCTGTAGACAAGGATTCGGTAGATATCGCCATGGTTCGAGGTGGGCTGTAGCCGTGCTAGAGACCCAGACGCCCAGCCATATAATAATGCTTCGAAACCAGCGACCAAGACGGGTTTGGGTCCATCCGGCATATGAGGAGCCAGCCAAGACACTTCAGAGGTAAGGCTGCTCTATATGTGCAAAGTGATATAGGTGGCTGTCTTGTGGAGAGCTGGAGATACTCCGTATCTCGAGAATGTAATATATGGGTATAGACAGTATATGAAGTGCTAATAATGTTCAGGATGGTATCATCGGAATTCAACGTGCCAAGATAACGGCTGTTTTTCCTTTAGGTGTATATAATTAATTGTTGTTGGCAATTCTCAACCGTCAATAAATAGACAGGCCGATAGATCTGCGGTTTGAAGTCATCCATGAGGTAATAATGGAGCCGTATTCAGCCCATCGTCTAGGAATAGGAATGATTGCAGGACAAATTATATGATGAGAAGGGATATGTCCAGGCCGCCGATTTGAGATTCAAACGGAGCTCCGGCAACAAGGAGGGTGATGATGAGACTAGGAGCAGCTGCAAGTATCCAAACTGCCCCAGCTTTCTCGAACACTGAATGGTCATCAATGTGGAGAAAATTCTAATACCGTCTGCATTTTCTGGATCTCCAATTCCAGGGTTTGAAGCATTATTTTGGCTCTGTAAGATGAGTATCAAAAAAAGACAGTTGTTGCTGTGCTGCCAACGTGTAGCATGATGTCTTTCTCAAGACAGTCTTTCGCCACATAAATACGGGAAATTGGTTATAATAAGATTTTCTGGTGACTTGGAGATCCTAGTCCTAACTAACTAGTCAGTCAACTAGTTAAGTAACCTCTCGAAGTGGTGACAGGGGAACAATGACATGCATTAGCGGTGGCCAAAGCAGCCCGCCCAACCGAGAAGGCCGCGGAATTTCCCATAGAAATTATCGGAATCGCATCTAGACGGTAAGAATCATAGTCGGGGGCCTGGTTGTGTAACCGTTCTTAAGAAGCGGATGTTAATATAACATATGGTGATCTGAGTTAGTTTTCCCCATAAATTTGACTGGATTCGACGCTGTCTGGTATAAATGGGTCTTCTTCCGTCCGATATGTTGGTCGTTGTTGGTATCCAAGAGCTGTACTGTGGAGAGTGGTCTCTAAAGTATCATTGGCGGTGACGAGGATGAAGGGAATGTAGAGTCCCTAACAGGATTGATTACCCCTGGTAATGGATCCTGAAAGGGACAAAAGAGCCAATCCCCCTTAGTCTCCAGTTGGTAAAGCAACTATCGTGCTGCACCTTTGGCAAGCCAAATATCTTATTCGGGGTATTCTTGGTTATTGATATCGCTCGGCTCTATCTATCCGAGCACTGTATCCAAATAGCCGGCTCACCATCTCTTATCCCTTCCGGCCATGGCTGTCTTGAACGTTAATGTTGACCCCTTATACAAGCAGAGTTTTACCTATAATATCGCGTCCCCTTTCACAGCCATGATAAGGGGGGTTCAGCCAACACACTAATAGCATCAATGTCAGGTTTCCTTCTAAAGATCAGCCTGACACTTCCTTCTCTTCGCCTTAGTCAACGACCAGCATTGACTTCGATGTATTCTCGAAGCAGCAGTTCACCAATAGCTCCGTTTCCCCGTCGACTTTATCCTTAATGCTGCCTAGTTAGCTGAGAAAGCCTTCGGCATGATGTACGACCAACATTTGTGGGAGGTAGCCAAGTGTAGCAGTCAGGTTGATATCATATAAGTATATCTCGTTGCATCGATGCACTAATATAACAGCCAGTGTCGAGGTTGCATGGCCTGAACTAGCTATCTCGGAACTCAGGAATGGGCGGTGAATAGGGCCAAGCAGAGTGCGTGGGTTATCCTGCTTCTCCCTAGCGTTTCCTTGGGAGTACCGGGGTATATTTTGTTTTACCCCTATGCCAAAAGTGCCGGATATTTATCTTCCAAGGCAGTGACCGTGGCTCTGTCGCTGCAAAGCTGCTTTACCCCAAGGCTGCTTCACTGCAAATGTTTCACTGTTCGCTATGTCACTCGACTCCGACTTCACTCAAACTCGACGTCTTTGCGGGTATATAAACACTTCAATTTCCTCGACTTCTCCAACTTCTCCACGTTCCTTATTATTATCTGTCAAAGAATAACCTCGTCCTGACTGCACTTAAGGTCAGTATCTCTTCGACCTCAAGCATCAAGGACGGCATAACCATTGTTACATACATATTGTTAAATTGGTATTTTCCCAGATGGGAGGAATCCCGGCCT